TCATTTTGAACGATTTTGGTGGGCTATAGCCCATGCTTTTTGATCAAAAATGGGTCAATTTTAACGATTTTGGTGGGCTATAGCTCATGCCTTTTGATCAAAAATAGGTCATTTTGAACGATTTTGGTGGGCTATAGCCCGTGCTTTTTGATCAAAAATGGATCATTTTGAACGATTTTGGTGGGCTATAGCCCATGCTTTTTGATCAAAAATGAGTCATTTTGAACGATTTTGGTGGGTTATAGCCCATGCTTTTTGATTAAAAATGGGTCATTTTGAACGATTTTGGTGGGCTATAGCCCATGCTTTTTGATCAAAAATGGGTCACTTTGAACGATTTTGGTGGGCTATAGCCAATGCTTTTTAATCAAAAATGGTCAGTTTCAACTATTTTGGTGGGATATAGCCCATGCTTTTTGATCAAAAAAGGGTCACTTTTAACGATTTTGGCGGGCTATAGCCCATGCTTTTTGATCAAAAATGGGATTATCAAAAAGTTTTTCGCATGCGTCATAATCTCTACCAGACATCTTATTTATTGCCACAGGGATCCCAAATACTTGAAATTAACTTTTTTTTCGTTATTTTTGTTTGTGAATTTTGATTTTTAACAACATTCTTTGAAAGTTTCAATGGATATAAATCTTGTAAGAGAACGCATTTTATGTTAAAAAATTCAAAAAAGGGGAAGACTTTTTTTTAATTTTGAAGCTAAAAGTTACCGTAAACGGCGCCTGAAAGTAAAAGCAAAACAAATGAAATCATGTTTAAATGTTTTTTACTTTTTCATTTTTTTTGTTTACATACACGTCGTCTTGTAAGCAAAGGAAACTAATGTCAACAACAACAACAGTTTATATTTATTAAATCACGCTGATTACAATGAAGTCAGTCCTCGCAGTTATATATAGTCTAGGACTATTCGAGGCGAGGGCGATAAGGGAGAAAACTAATAGAAAATTTTCAAAAATTGACAGTTAGGCTACATAACAGTTTTACAAGGATAAAAAAAGAGAAAAAAAGAGATACGAGGAAGAGTACGTAATATTAGGAAATTATTAAATAACTATTACGATAATTATAAAATGTTGACAAAGGTGTTCCTTAGTATGAAGCTTTTAGCTCGTTAATAATCTGATCGATATCTAAAATATCGTCTGCTTTTTCGAAAATCTCGAGAGAGATGCTCCTAATCAATGTCTTCAATTTGAACTTATTCAGACTTTTAATAAAAGCAAGGAGACTATTCCAGATTTTAGCGCCCATAAAACGAAAATATTTCGGTTACATTTGCATTCTATTTTACCTGGTAGCACTAGTCATAGGCAGTTCTATACTACTTATTTTTTCTTATCATAGTATTTGTTAATATAATGATGTTTTGAGTACTCTGCGAAAAGAGGATTGTTTCCACGCACTTGTACGTAGAAAAAGATTAAAGTCAGTCACGCGGACTGATCACATGGTTTACCTTTTAGATTTTGGAGTTTTTGCAACAAGAAAAAAAAAGCCGTCCTGTTTCAATGTTTTTCCTTCCCTTGGTTGAAGGGGATGAAACAATCCTTTCTCGCAGGGTATTATTTCAGTTGCTTCTGCTTCTGCTTCTTTCTAATAGTTCTAATTTACTAACATTAATTTACTAGCAGTTTCACTCAATGTGCATCGTTATCAAGGCTTTTAGATGTCTTCAACCTTCAATATATCTGTCGATCTTTCGTTTTGGTGTAGAGGACGGGTACCGTTTGTTGATCTTCCTCGCCTTTGATTCCCACTACTTTCATCCGTCAACTGGAACTCCCTTACGGTAGGACAGTCACAGCATACAAAGCATTGTGTAACGATATCCAGTGCAGCTCGTCTGAGAGCACGGTTTGTCTTCAACATGATAATAGGATTGATTATTGCGTTCACGTAGATGGCAAATTGGAACCAATATCTCCCAAAATACACATAGTTTTGGCCGTTGAAAATAATAAGAGCAACAGACGACAAAAAGGGAATATAGCACACAGCTAACCCAAGCACGATGTAGAACACAACAATGGCAACAGATCGTTCAAGGACCATTTGTCTAAGTTGTGACGAGCTCATGTCAGAAGTACGGGCTCGTTGATGCCTGACTCCATAGTAGATGATTATCTGTAGAAGGGTAACCACGACAGTTGTGCTTCCAAACAGCACAACCATTAACGATGAGAGATCCGTGAGCGAGAGAAAAGGCGCAGAGCTGCTCACTCCAATGCTTGTGATCCATACTACAGCTACAAAACCAAACACTCTCTTCCTTGTCAAGACCCTACGGTAGAAATGAGGCTTGTGAATGGCAAAACAGCGGTCGATTGATATCATGATCATGCTCAATAGACCGATTGAACGTCCGCAAAACACAAAGAACAGCAAGACCAAACCCAACAATGACCGGTAACATAGATCATCTTTGGTCAGCAGAAGTAATGATTCACAAATTTGCAATGTTTCAGCGAACGATACGAAGACAATGTCCTTCATGTTCAGGCTACAAAGGAGGAGAGACGAAGGAGATCGAAGTCCAATGTGTTTACGTACAGTCAGAAGTATAAGAGAGTTTGCGAAGACGGACAACAGAACGCACAGTGTATTCAGAGGAGCAAGGATGGAGTGGGTGGTGTTAAAGTACTGGTACTGAAACTCAATGGAAAACTGAGGATGGAAACAGCGAAAGCTGGGATTTTTCATTGTTGTGTTTGAAATGTTGCTCGCCATTGTTGTATTAAACCTAAAAATGAAAAAAATACTGATAATTGCAATTCCTACAATATCCAATGTGAAACAGACATTTTGATTAAAATATCTGACTTACAATTTTTATGTCACCAACTTTTACTTTGAATATAAGCCTTTTTATCCAGCAATCTAAACTCTCAATACGGTCTATTATTCTGCTTTTAATTAAAATTATAATTAAAATTATATTTAACTAAAACCAATAGAATTGCTAATATTTTTTTTACACTTTTCGGTGAATTTCACTCGCTGAAATAACAAGCCTTTTGACATACAATGCGCTGACACCATCATGTTCTTCTCGTGGGCTCAGCTGACGGAAAGCAGTGATCTTCGCTCGAAGTTTTTCAATTGGCAAAAATTTTAAAGTAAAAACGTGGTAAAAACAAAAAAAAATTTCTCTTTTATTTTGGTAACACACTCTTGACGTCATTTAGGCATTTAGAGTATGTCAATCGAGGATATACAACTCAAAATCGTGTGTAATTTAATAAATTGATTTATCGTCTTTGACTGAGTATTATCAATTCTAAATATCTGCCCGCTGTTTCCTTTAAGTTGTTTAAGGTGTGTTATTGTAATATTTCGATGACTATGACGAATGTTCGAAAGAAAACAAAACAAAATATACTTGTATAAATATCCTCGACACGTACACTCGATACAAAAAATATTGTTCAATAATATTTACGACACTTCACTTCACGCATATATATTTCCATTTCATTCTGTATAACATTGAGTTAGATTATGAAAATAGCGACCAAAAGCCTTTCCTTCTTCAAAATAAAAAGCATATTTCTTTATGTATCAATGACAGCTTGCACGTACAGATCACGTGACCACATCTCTCCTAAACTAAGATTCTACCAACAAAATCAATATAAAATGAAAAAAGCATCTCAAAACTGGTAAAAGTGCAGAGTCTTATGTTTGTGAATATATGAGGCAAGAAAAAGCGAAACTTATAGTCCAAAGTTCTTCTTCTAAAAGAATCAAACTGGAAATTGGCTGACGTTTGAGCACCCCGTACGTCACACTAATGTTTTATGTTTTATCGCAAGATACGAAAAGAAAGACTCTCACCTAACAATTGTTTCAATAACCTCTCTTCCAGAACATCGTGTAAGATGGCACTTCGCGCTTTCAGTTCATCTAAGGAGATCTTCTACCTTGTCTTTTTCAATGTTCTTCTTGAGTTATGGAAGTTGTCAACAATCCCACACCGCTTTGAAAAACTCCCCTAAAAGGACCGCCAATTTATTTATAATAAACACTTACTCAAGGGCAAGGAAATCTTCTTCTTCACAATAGCAAAAGCATACATTTTAAGATAAAATATTCGCCCCATATACCTAAACAAATCCCAAAATGTTATCCCAACAATATATATTTTTTTGCATTCAACTTCCTTGTTCAGCGTATTATCAATTTAAGTGTCTTCAGGGTTATCCGGTGCACTTTGAGATTGACAATATAAACTCAAAGAAACCTGAAACAACGTCGATGTAGGCGTTAATAATAAAATGATTGTTTTCGATAACACTAGGAAGTTCATTGATAAGTGGAGTCACGGATTTTTCATCATTGAATTTTTTTTAAATGAACTTTCAAAGTTATTTTATTTATTTATTTTTTTAAATTCTCAATGCATTGATTCAAAGTAGATTTCACACAGTTGTAGAATTTTACTCGATTTGTTGGATTTTTGCAAGCGGGCCTAGGAAATTGCTTTGTAGCTGTTGTTTAGCTACTATGATTTTGTTTGGAATAAAATTTAAAATTCAATTCCAATATTTAATGTAATCATTCTCAGGAAGCGTACAAAAAGGATATAATATCGAAACTTGTCAAACTTGCTCTTGGGCAGTTTTTTTTTCAAATTTCCTGATCGCTTTAAATAAAGATTCATTGATTGTGCATATCTATTTAAGTCATTAAACAAACTGACCTACATTCGTTGTAGTTCACCTATTGTAAAATATTATCAATGTATGGGATGACTGGATAGGAAAAAGGAGTATTTTAGATATACTATTTTTGCAATTAGCGAGTGACCGCTTTTACATAGTGGACAAAACACTCTCTCGGATAACAGCTTTTAAGCAAAGCATATTTAGCATTTAGTTTCTTTTTCTAGGCTAAAAAAGAAACAAAAAAATAAAAAAATAAATATTTTATTTTTTTGGAAAACGTACCTATCAAAGCCGACGGTCGAGTCTGTCATGGGTTTTTGATAACTGGCGAATATGTAAAAAGAGATAAGCTTGACGCACTTTTGAAAATAGTGTCTTATAAAGATAAGATCAAACATAGCACTAGCCTGATAATCTTCAGTTTTGTCAACATTAAAAATCATATTATTTTTGTACATATATACCTATTTTTTATAAACTTACCTTTTTAATATTCGAGGAGTTTACTGAGAGAGATTTGCAAAACCTCTTTGATTTAATTCTTTATCAATCTTGCTTCCAAACTTAGCTAGGAGAGATTGTCTTCATAAAGAAGTTAAACAAGTTTTAATGTGCTATGCACAACACACTGACCAATGATAAGTATGATTTAGCGGATGCAAGTCAAGAGACCGACGTCAAGATTTTGTTGCGCATTTAAAATTCAAATTAGAATCGAGTGGTGAAAATCCAAAGTGTTCTCTGACTGGAGGTGTGAATTTAACAAAATAAAGCTGATCACATATATAAAATTCTCATTAATCTCAATGCTTAGTCATTTACCACTGTAGATTTAAGGGATTTTGTATTATATTGTCGACGTGAAACGAAATTTCAAAATTTCAGCGTGTATCAGATTTCTCGCAAGGATATAAATTGTTGCGGAATAGCAAGCAGGGACATCTCTCTTTTTTCATTGCAAAAACCCGAAATTGAACCAGTAAAGCCAGTTTCTTACAAAACCTTGATATAGATGATATCGAGTGGCTGACATTCAATAGAATTTAAACGAACGACATATTCAAAGCTGCCAAAAATCTATTATAGAAAACAGTGAATTCGAAATGGCGTCGTCTTGATATTGGCAAAAGTTCCACATAGAGTTTAAATTTACAAAAGAGAATTTACTGATGCCTCTGGGTTTTTATTTGGCTCCACCTTAGATCCGTATGTTATACATTAGTCCTATGTATTTTCGTTTCCTGCAGAGAATATTTTTAAAATACCAAAATATTATTTTCAGTGTATTCAGATGCCACTGTAGGCAACTCCATATTATTGTCATTCGACAAAATTTCAATGAAGAGTTTGTGAAAATTACTAAAGGTTTGAGTGAGAAATTAATCCTTTAATATGAGATTAAGTGTTTTAAAATGGGTCGTAAAAATTAAAAGAACACAAACATCATTAAACTCCCATAACATTATCGTGAATAAAGGCATGCCGCAAAACATATCTTTGCCTGCTTCGAGTCCGGTTTCTCTTCATCCTTTGTTTCAACCAGTCTCAAGAAGCTGTCAATTATTCAAAGCAACCTTCCGCTGCATTTACGACACAAAGGTGCCTTAGTACTTAAAATCTCTGAGAAATAATTTCGTATGAATCATAAAAGTGATCTTTGTGACTTGCATTCATTACTCGTGAATTTTCTGCACGTATTTCCTGCCTCTTGTGATCTATATAGTCCCGAGTTTTGTTCGAAACAATCGTTTGAGGTAAGAGCACCGGATGACAAGAAAAGAAAAAAGAAAAAAAAAAGAAGAAAAAAAAAGAAAAAAAAATCATTTAGCACATTAGGACATTAAAACATAGCCCAAATTCATTATTCTGCTTGAACATGGAATAAAAAAAATTGACTTGTTTTCAAAATACGGAAAGTAGATGATAGGATGAACATGTTTTATATATTTATATAATGCAATAGTCAAAATAGATAAAAAAGAAAACAATGAATTTCAATCGTGTAAGGATTCAATCAAGAATAAATCATTGAATCTTCGTCGCACGGAAAATAAGTATCCAAGAGCTACTTAAAAAAATGCTACGAAAAGAGCTGTCAAAAGCTACTCGGTTTCAAATTAAGAATTGGTTCTTCGATGTCGTGGGCTGAAAACAAAGCAGCCTCTCTTTCTTCTTTCTGAGTGTTTTAATAACTTCATTACCAATAATGATTTTAAAGATTTTTAACTTCAGGAAGCCATATTGGTTGACAATTAATAAGGAAGTGTAGAAGATGATGAGTACTATCAAGTCTATAGCATAGTGACTTATGAATTCTCACGATGCACTAGCCACAAAAAGAGATTGATAATAGTAGCTAACGTAGTAGAAACATACACTGAGAACGAACATTACGATTGTTTAAGTTTTATCATTAGTTTTATTAAAACCCCTTGCATATCAAATGAATACTAATTGTTTTAATTACAAAATATTACCGCTCCATCAAAACTAGAAAAAGTTGGATGTTACAAAGTTATAAAAAGTCAGTACAAATCTAAACGTCATATACAACAATTTTAGGCCTCTCTCAAATCTAATATGTGAAGAAGTCAATGTTAATAGACCTTTTAAAAATACAAATACGGCTGAAACCTAGAGCTTATTACCCTGAATACGACCGCCAAAAAATGCAGCAATGTAAAATGTATTTTACGAATTAATTAAAAACATTTCAACTGCAATGTATTAGAACGATTTCACATAAACCGGATAAAAAATGCTTATGAGGATCAATTTATGCTAATACACATTACACGATGAGAATGGCTTGTATCAAGTTGTTGTCTATGTTTGCAAAAACTAGATACAAAAATGTTTTGATTTTTTTTCGCTTACGAAGTGTTTTTCCTTAATGTGCACGTTGGAATGCTTGTAAAAGCAAACAAATGTTTTATTTGTGCAATTTTTGCTGCTTTTGTTGTCGTTTTAGACATGTTACAGATAAACAGAATTAACGTCAACATATCTGTACGTCAAATAAGTAAAAGCGTTCATCAATATCCTTGTTTTCCCCTGTTTAATATCGTGTAATGTGTATTAGCATAAATTGATTCTCACTAGCATTTTTTATCCGGTTATGTGAAATCGTAAACAGTGCTTGATTTTATAAAGCTAAGGTTAAATAAAAAATAGAGTATACGAACCACATCGATGAACCAAATATTACTTGTGTGAATGTGTTACAGTGCAAGGAGAATATTAGTAAAGTTTTTATGTTTTTAGAATTTGCACTCTATTATGCGTAGCTTGATATGATAAAAATTGAATAAAGATTGTCATATACTCTCCATCTTTTAGATGGTAAATTTTCCATTGTTTTAGGATTAAATTTGATAAAATTGTCCCGCCATCTAAGATGTACTATTCTATGAAACGAAATTAAAATCTAAAGAATCTTATATTATTTATCAGATGTAAATTTGTAATTTTTTTCATAGAGCATGAGTATTTACTAATTTTGAGATGCTTACTATGTTTTCTTCATTCTGTTAAGGCAAAAATCTGATTTCTTTGTCAGCAGAGTCTTCTGTAGTCAATCTTAACGTCTCTGCCAACACGGGGAATAATTTAACATCGGAAAAGACAGAACTCAACTCCGCCTCGTCCCGAATTGATTAACGCGTCGTGTATATATAAATATTAACTTGTAATAGTGACTACATACATACATCAGCTATTATCCCTTCGATTAAAGGGCCGTGGTCAACCGGCATCCACTTCGAGCTTTTGTTTATGTTTGAAAATAAAATTGCTTCGTAATATAAGCTAAAAATTACTCTTTATTATCCTTTTATGTTCTATGAATGGAGATATTGTGAGATTTGTAGTAAAAACCAACCGTTGCAAACGGATTGCGAATGGATATTAAAAGTCAATTCTTTTTCCATATATGGAAAATCTAAAACACGGCCGCATTGAATGCCGGGAGACCACGACTCTTTAAAAGCTGCTTACAAAACGCAACATTCAGATATCATTATCGTCCTCGTATCATAACAACTGCGATGAACACATTATATTCCTACTGGGACTCATGCCATAGTCCTCATAATTACGATTTCATAATTATCACTAATAATCTATAATAATATCCACTTTGCTATTCCACACAAGCATCAAACCTATCGTGATAAGACTTGAAACTTTCAAAGTCCTTTCTTCCCCAGGCCTCCCAAATATTCAGCTGGTAACGCTCGGTCGACCGGTCTTGGATTTCAACCTGGCCTTTTGGAGAACTAGGGGACTGGGAACTATCGCCTTGGGCTTGTCTACGCATGCGCACTGGCTCCACGCGACGTAGGCAAACGATCTGTAGACAAGGTTAGAGAATTTATAGTTTTAATAATTAATCACGCAAAATGAAATGTAGCATAATTAAAGGAACTAAAACACAACATTACATTTTTGCATTCAAGGAAAGTGTAACCTGGCTTATTCCAAATATAATTAGATATTATAGAGGTGCGTCCGTATTGTAGAGGTCAGTGTCTGTAATACAGAGGTGACCGCAGGATTTTTCAGAGAGGGGGTGGCTAATATTAAAATCTAGTATTAAAGCACGTTACAATTCAAAACTTTAAATCTTTATATTTTATTCAAATAGAAGAGGGGGGTAGCTAGCCACCCATTCCACCCCCTGTATCCGCCCCTTTGCTCGAATAGGTTTTAACAATAAGAGGTGTCCATAATATGGAGGTGTCCGTAACACTTTTTCTAGTTTCATCTCTTTACTCCGACGATGGATTAACGGTCCGAAACGTCAGTAAGTTGTTTCACCTATTTTTTACGGTGTTAAATTTTTTTTACACAAATGTTTCTTTAGAAACACCGACGCAGCTCACACTTGTTTACCGCTAGTTTCCACCATTCCGTAATATAGAATTGTCCGTATCGTGTTGGTGAGATGTTGTTTTAGCAGGTTGCTCACTCACCTTATTACTGCCTGATTTTATGACTTCATGGACATGTCCCTCGGTGTAAAACTGTAGATAACTGTCACACTTCAAGACCGCTATGACTTCACCATAAAAATACTCGTTGGATTCGTTATCGACGTTGACGACGACCAAGTCTCCCCTCCCTCGTCCGACCCACAGGGTCCCCCCTACGTACAGAATGGTCATGACCTTGTTTACAGAACCAGTAATTACGTGAAGACGAGGTCTCGTTGCGTCATTTGTTGGTTTGTTTTGTCCTTGGTTGGCGTTACGAAGTGATTTTCGCTTCCTGGATTTCATCATGGATGGACCGCGTGTGATGGATTTAGGATTTGCCTTCAGTGAAGCCATGGAAACGGCTTCAGCTTTCGGCCTCACGATGCTCTGCTTGCGTTCTTTGGCAGCTTCGACGACAACCTTTGAGCGGTCCACAAACTCGAAAGAGCTTTCGTTGTTGTTATCAACAGTCTTGATTTCTTCATCAGCCTGAAGATTTGGTTCATCTGTGATCGTAGTTGCTTCATTCTCTTTAGTTTTAGTATCAGGGTTATCAGATTCTGCATTATCTTCAGAATTCATTTTCTTAGGTCGTGAAAGCAGGTTTTGTGTTCTTGATAACGAAGGTTCAGTACAAAACCCACTATCAAATGAGTTGGCGACAGTTTCTTCTTCGACTCCATCGGCTTGTGATGAAACCGTGTCATCTTTATTGTCAGAATTTCTCTCCATTTTTACAGGTTCAGTCGTTCCCTGAGCAGCTTGGTTTTGCTCAGACGCCGAAACACCCGACGAATTTCGGAATTTCAACGCACCAGATCGAAAAAGCTTTTTATCTTCCGACGATGTCGAAACGGAACTTGGAGCGACTTCTCCAGTCTCTGACCTTTCTCTACCCCTCTTAGGTAGTGTATCTCCTTGTCGTTTGGCGTCCTCCTCGCCAATATCAACTCCCTCCGCCTTGGAAAAGGGTAAACACACTAGCTTCATGACCGGGTTCTCCACCTCTAGATCAAACACATGTGTAAGTTGGTGGGAGCGAACATCCCACTGGAGAATCTTGGTTGAACGGCGGTCGATACTCCACACTCGATCATCACAAGCCACCATCTTTCGGACTTTAGCACGACGAGACGAGTAAACCTGGATCTCTTTAATAATCATGAGCGTGCGAGTATCTAAAATAATAATCTTATTATCACAGCTCACCCACAGTTCGGTGTCCTCATTAGTCAATACCATGCAATTTACTGGACTACCACTTTGGCCAAGATTAATGACTTGGATATCGTTCCAGTAGGTCATTTCTTCCTTGATGACGCTGTCGTCGTCATTGGGGCTTAATTTGACGTCTTCGTGGATATGAGGGGTTGTGGAATCAACGGAATGTGAAAAGATTATCAGGGTACCATTAGATAATGAAGCAAAGACGCGTACACGTTTGAACTTTTTTTCCTGGAAAAAAAAATACGTTAAAAAGAACAAGAGTCAAATCTTGAGACAACTGACACTTTCATCATTAAGTACTATGCAATACAGCGAAACCTTTGTTATTCCGTCCACCCAAGAGACAAAAAGTGCCCGCATTAACGGGGTGGCCATTTAAGCACAGCAGACAAGACAAGTATAGCGATTTCTAAAATTCGCCCGGGTATAAAAATCCGCCCGTTATACGGAGTGGTCGTATTATTAAGCACACATTGTGACTTGAAATACTACAAATCCTACTTACTGTAGATGTTTCTTTACACGATTGTTCGGACGAGGATTCCTCGGTGGATTCTTCAGACTCTTTCAAAGGTTTTTCCGTATCTTGAACTAAAAGTCCCAACACCGCCGCCTTGAGCCGAAATGAGAAAAGGGTGGTCGGGAGGCGATGCGAGGAACGCCTGCCAAATATGTCGATAGTATTGCCCTACAGGTAAAATCACACTAAACGTCAAATTAAATGTTTTAAGCTTCCTACTAAGAACTCTTACATATAGTTTCACTTCGCTTTATGCTTGCGGTTGCGTTACGCATGCTTTCAGTGTCTATGGTAACCACAAGTGTTACATCTCGCCGGCGTACGTTCAACGTTTATGCGTTTGCTTAAAGTCTAATCGCACTCGAAGCTTGTATTGCATTTCTCGCTTTTATGCGACGGCTTGCATTGTTGCTTGCGCTTGCAGTTGCGTTGGCCTACATAATGAATGATTAATAATGATTACGTTTTTTTTGCTAGGTTATGATTCAATACTCGCTGTCTTTGGTTTTACGTTTAGACTGTGACTGCGTTTAGATGACGGTTATCTGCGTCATGCCTGTGTTTAACTTCGCGTATGCGTTATCACAATCACTGCGTTTGATAACATCAGCTTGTGCTTGCGTTATGCTTGTTCTTATGCTTGCGCTTTGTTACCAAGACTTACATGATGCAGTTATCATTGGTTGACAGACTTACCTCAGTCCCAAGCCAAGTTCTACTGCCGACTTTAGCCATACAAAGAACTCTGTGTCCAGGACATGATTCGTCTTTAAAATAGAAGACTCCAGTATCACAGTTCAACATGCCGTACTGGCGGTGGGAACGCTCACGGCTCCATAGCAAAACAAAACTCGACTCTGTACTTCCTTTGAAATCATGAAATATCATAGAATATGAAAACTTGTTCTCATATACACTTTTATAGGAAAATGGGGAAGAAAGGTCGAGCGAATTCACTATATATTCAGCGAATCGAGGTCTTGAATTTGAATGCAATTTCTTTTATGCCCTTGTTTTAGTATCCTCCAAATTTTATTTCACAGGTAAATCAAAACCGCTCTAATCACAATGTAACAGTTCTTATTTAGTGACTATTTCAACGGGTTTTTTGCCTTTGTGTTTTCCTAATCACCAGAATAACTGACGGGCAAATTGAATTTATTATATATTTAACTATGAAATACCAATATTTCTCCATTTCGTAAAGTTGTTATTTTTCACTAGTGAAAATAACACATTCGAGGTTTCTCTATGTAGTGGGAGTAAGAAAAAAGGTATTTTACGACATAATTTGCTTTCATATGTAGTTATATGATAAACAGAATATACATGGTCGCTTGGAGATACGAATTTTTACGATCTTCACCTGTTAGATCTTTTCAACACTAGAAGATAAAATCCATATCTCCACAGGCCCATGTAATATCCTTTATTTATCATACCTGAACCAGAATGCGCCATCCCGTACACAGACGTGATTTTCTCCAGTACCTCACCGGACTCGGGCTTTGGCATCACTCTGCAGTGACACAGAAACTCTGGTTCTTGAATTTCTTGAAGGATTTTCTCAGCATTTGGACGTCGTTCTGGGAGCTCATGCCATGATTTAACCATCAACCTCTCTAGTCGTGGAAGTTGGCTGTCTAAGTCGTGGTCTTCCAGGGAAGGACGAACGTTTCGTCGAATTGCTTTCTTGATTTCAACAGAGCTTTTAAAATCGCGGAAAGGTCTGACACCGGAGATCAACTCATACAAGAAGATTGCAAAGGAAAATATATCAACCTTGAGACAAAAACAAAAAACAATTTCAATGTTAACTTTGAAAAACTTTGCACGACATCTAACGAGGCCGGGGAGGGTAATAAGAGCTACATACCTTCTCATCATAGCCAATACCCGTGCGTATCTCAGGAGCCTGGTATCCAGGTGTTCCTTCATCTCCCGACACTCCTTGCGGTGTAGCAAAAACCGAGATTCCATAATCCGATAGTTTTACATTTACTAAATCGTCCTCATCGATTGACCAAACGAGAATATTATCAGCCTTTAGATCACGGTAGATGATATCGGAGTCATGGAGATACCACAGAGCGCTGGCCACCTAAAACAGAACGTTGCAAAATAATAAGTCTTGGTAATGTAATGTAATGTACATGTACAACAACGGTCGCCAACAACGTAGCATGGGTGTGTGGGATACCTGTGGTAATGGCCGACCCTAAGACGATGTACGGAGTTGAATAAAATCGTTCTTTATAATACAAATACTAACTTCTACACGTAAAATTATAGGGAAAAAGTGTAAATTAACCTATATGTTTTATATAAAATGTTTTTTTAAAAGATAAATTTAACACTGTAAAAAAATAGGTAAAACAACTTACTTTTAGACGTTCATCTTTCGTCGGAATAAAGATAAAGAGACGAAGGATTAACGTCCGAAACATCAGTTGTTTCACCTATTTTTTTACGGTGTTAAATTTGTCTTTACACAACTGTTTCTTTAGAAACACCGACGCAGCTCACACTAGTTTACCGCTAGATCCCACCATTTTGGCTTTACATAAATGGTTTGTTTTTTGAGTTGTTGCGGTATTTCTTGACAACGCGCCACTATGTTGAACCGACCATTACCACAGGTATCCCACTCCTGGTACAACATTTACAATTTCACAAATTATAGTATGGTCTTTCAAGAGGAGAAGTTTAGTTTTCGATAAGTGAAAAGTTTTCAATTTCGTTCCCAGTCACTTCTGAATATCTGGAAAGACCAATGGAAAGTCAACCCTACCTGAAATGCAATTCTATAAGTTAATAACTTTCCCAGAACAGCTTCTTTGCTCTCGTATTGAGCCGGGTTCAATGTTTCTTTCTTTTTTATCTCTCTTCCTAAAGTCAGCTCATCGAGTAGATTTGCCAGGCTGCCGTGTGGAGCTAATTCTAGCAGAAAGCACAATGGATGGAGGCAGACACCTAGAAGTTTCACGATACACGGGTGCTGGAGATGGCATAACACAGCGACCTGGGTAAAAGTAAAGTTAATACGATTATTTATACGTAGTTTGTTTAATCAACCATGAATAATTTTAAACTTCTTTCCAAGCTTTCGACCTAAGCGGTCATCTTCAGGGAACACAAAGACGTTACAAAAACAAAAACAAAAACGCATTCATACTGAAATGAAACTACTACTACTACTAAAAAAAAGTAGTTTCATTTCAGTTTGAATGCGTTTTTGTTTTTGTAACGTCTTTGTGTTCCCTGAAGATGACCGCTTAGGTCGAAAGCTTGGAAAGAAGTTTAAAATTATTCATGGTTGATTCGAACGAACTACGTATAAATATGAAAAATACAACCAACAAAGATCTTTTAAAAAAATACGATTATTGTTGAAGTTCGATCTTTTTTATGTGATTAATATGACATTTTCTTTATTTTAATTGAAATAAGGTAATAAATATAAAATAAACCTCTTGTCTCAAATCCCAGAAAGCTCGCACAACTTTAGTCTTCTCGAGTTCATCTTCCACGTCATCTTCACCGAACATGAATTCTCCTCGTAGACTGCCTGCGCGGCGAACACTTGAACCTTCACTGCGGTTATGGCGAATGGACGACCCCGCAGTCGACGACATGGAAGACGATTCAGTACCGACTCCTATACCACTGTCTTGTAGGTATCTGAAGAACGAATGACACCATGTGGTCAGTTGACACGACAAAAAAAAAACAAAAACAAAAAAAAAAAAAAAACAACAACAACAACAATAACAACATAAAAACAAAAACTAAAAACTGAATAAAAATTCCGACCTTCCTCAGCGCGTTGTAACAAAAGAGCTAAGTTTGACCAAAATGTCTGCGTTTTTTCATTAAAATCTTACGCTAGTGACAAATATCTTTATTTAGTTTTTAATATGACTCTGCTGCAATTTTAAAATACTTAAACTCAAACACTATTCTCTTGTATCTGGTAGTTTCCATAACAATAGAGAAGACATTCATTCTTCAAAATAAACAAACAAGCAATAAAAATACAAACATACCTCGAGACCCTCGTGGAATGAAAAGTCTTCACCGCAACCTCTTCTTCTCTCAGAAGCCCCCTAAAAACCTCGCCAGCACCTCCCCCTCCAAGACGACTTTCATCATCAGTTGTATACGAGAATTCAACACTATCAACCAATAAGTTCCGGGGGAGGTCGGTCATGAGTAAATCAGGGATGAGCTCATCGAGTGAAACCACTGTGTCGGGATGGTAGGGGCAATTGATTGTGGAGAAGTTCATCGCGGCTGCCGCACAAGTTGGCAAGGTAAAATTGTATGGACGGACTGGCTGGGAACCGCAATGCTCTGTGGGATACTCGAGGGAACAGGATCTGCGAAGGAACGAACCACGGCGAGCCATTACGTATGTACAACGCGGACATGGAATCAGGCGGCGCACGAGTGGATAACCGAACGTGTCTGTGTCATCAAGACCTGAAATAATAATAAATGATTGTGGACGACAGGTTTTAAAGAATCCTTGAATTTTCAAATGAACAAGTGTCTTTGTGAACCATCAACGAGAGGATCACCGCTATCAAGAGGTCGTGAAGGCTCACCTGGATACCATTCAGAAATGAGGGCGTCAACTTGGTCGACGATGAATCCCATCACTGAGAAATCTCTGAACGAAGACCACACTTCAATCGATACACCTTCGTACTCTTCAAAGCGATGTCGAGCGGCTCGTAAAGGAACCTGGGTAAAATGCATCAAAGTGAAAATAATGATCAACAATACTCCAGTTTCGAATTCTCTTTAGTGCAAGATTAGCTTGAATCAAGCATACATCTTTATTGTCTTCTTTGTACAAAGAGTGTTTTCATTACAATAGGATCACTGCTGAATAAATAGAGGATATTACATGGGCGCGCGGAGATACGGATTTTATCTTCGAGTCTTGAAAAGATCTCTCACGAGTGAGCGTAGCGAACGAGTTCGAAATTTTCAACACGAAAATAAGATCTCGAAACTAGAGTACAAATAAGATCTCGAAGCTGGAGTATCTATCAAAAGCAGTTTTATCGCAATAATCTTCGTCTTGTTGTCATTTTGTAAACTTCTAGTGGCTACCTCAGTCCTTAATGTTATAACAATAGAATGTTTTGACGTGACGTCATAGTGGAAGAGGGCAATTTCTTCATTGATTTGGAGTATTATTGCTTACCAATTCTCTATACGACTGAACCAAGAAGTGTCCGCCACTGTATATGACTCCAATTCCCTTCCTCCAGTAGATCATGAAGAACTCATTCTCTTCAATACCTTCATTAGTTCTCCATCTTTGTAGAGAAACCATCAGCCTTGTTATAAGACGGCTCCAGAAACCACTTGGGATGTAAGCCATTTGGTAATTACGACTCACAGCGTCGACGGGTTCCTTTGGAAAGCCATCATCATCGTCGTTGTTGACATTACCATCGACGTCGTCGCCTTTGTGTTTCTCTGGAGGAGCCAATCCCACGGGAAGAGTTGAAGAACACTTCTCTTTTCTTTCTTCTTTCTTACTGCTTCGAGATGAGGATGGTGTGAACGTTTTTGACCGCTGCTTTGTGCGCCAAGATGGCACACCTCCCCGTCTGTAGAATAATTCACGCTGCATCCCGGGGGAGTCAATTGGCAACATGGATGGAATAAGGAGCCTGTTTTCATCAAGGGATAGAGCGATCTCGAATCGTTCCATAAGTTGTAAATACTGAAAAAATAGAAACGAAAAGCTCAGATTTATTGCACTGTCTTGTTGTTTTTAAAATAATAACCATTTCTAAAGGTTGATAGTTTAAGTAATTATTGCAGCGATATATGTGGATAGAGTCAAAGGCAACCGCAAGGCACCATGGGATGTTGCAAAGAATAATATCCCACAATAACTTGCGGTCCTAAGCATTAGACATCGACTTTACTTATTGTTATAAACAGTATTACCTGAGGAATAAACTCGGGAGGAAACCGAGGATCTTTGAGAACAAAGTGTATATTGTGTTTTGACATAATTCCTTCTCTGACAAAGTTGTTTCTTTCCTTGACGGTTACAATACTTGCTATCAAGTCGCAGACCCAAGACGGATCAATGAAATAGAGGGTATTAAGTCCCCGTAGTTGGTCGTTGTAATGGAGAAGGACACCATTCTCGTGTAGAAAACGTGTTGCTGGTTCAAACAATAGAAAATAATAATTAATAACAAACCCTCTTACGCCGCCATTTTGAATTCCTCTCCTTTTAATATCGATTCACTAAAAAAAATAAACGGTGTCTAGAGACAATAGACATAAAATTTATAGACTGTACGTCCTTGAGAAAGCTCACTTAGATTCAAGAATATGTCATAAAATGTTAAAATCATCATTTGAATGTTTTGAAACAATGATTTAAAGCTTGAAGCGCGAAATTCTCAGAGAAATAAATTTTTCTATATAACAATGTGTGCTTTTGCACGCTGGACATCTTATAATTTCTTCAAAATCATTCAAAATGACGGCCATACTCGTAACAAGATTTATCAGTATTAAAATCGGGAGAAACCGCACAGATGCACAATAAAGAAAATTGGAATATCATTCTAAAATACCTAGAGCCAGTTCCTCATGGTCCAGAATATCATTATCCTTGTTCTTGCTTGCGAGGTCTAAGATTTCTTCCTCTAGTAGAATGGGAGATTGTCCTGACTCCCTTCGTCTCTGGGCTTCCTTGATAACGGAATCTTGAAGTTGAATGTAGCTTAGTGGAACCTGGGATATTCAAAATGGATGAGAACCAAATGCATTGGTACGTTGTAAAAGAATGAAATGCTAAATAATCAAATCTGCAATAATAAACGTAGCGATAGCCTTCGACGCCATTTTTTAGAGCAAAGTATGATGGGAAATGCAATTTTTTTTCCGGTCATTTTGCGTCCTTCAAAGCCTATCGGTGAGGTGAATGACCGCTAATTATGGGTACAGGGCCCAGCGATTAGGGCTCGATTAGCGCTAATCCTGGGTTAACCCTTCAATAACCTATGGAGTTAACCCTGGGTTAATGCTAATCTGGCTTTGAACAACTCAGCCCAGTTTACAGTAAACATACAGTGTAGAAAGTGAAGTATATCTGGGGGAAGCAACCGCTTATGGCGGCTGACAGCGAAATAAAGGGTATCATTAATGTATGCTTCACTGTACCTGTTTCCCAATGATGTTTTCGCCTTGTTCTTTTGCCTTGGTCGCTTTATTGTAAATCATCTCTCTCAGTTCCACAACATTCTCGCCGGTCGTGGCTGATATGGTAATATTGCCGACAATTTTAGGAAATCCTTTGCTATCTCCAAACTTGTTCATGACCATCTGTCTTAGCTTATCGAGACGAGACTCTCGAACTTTCTTAGGTAGTCTATCCATGTGCGTCCCTACTATGAGTACATCTGAGAAAGGTGCCCGCGCCTTTAGAAAATAGAGAACGGAAGATTAAACCATACCCAGGTATAAACACCCCCACCCCTCCCCCTCCCGTTCCAATTTCGTCATCCTGTATAGTGAATTTACCTTTATATTCAAAAGCCATTGTCGTAGACTTTCAATACCCTCTTCACCCAGGGTTACATTCCAAACACACAAGTACAGTGTACTCGGAGAAAGAAACATTTGATGAGCAGCGTAATAGACGGTCTGGCCAGCAAGGTCCCAAGTACTAAAGGTGATAGTCGGAGAGTCGCTGGACTATAAGTGGAATAGAAACATATGTCCAGTGAACACTAAGGAACTTCACTAATACACGCATTTAGACACTTTGTAAAGGTTTTTCTAAGATTTTGATTAAACCTCAGTCTGAAGCTTTTACGTCATGTACATAATTATCAGTGCATTATGGGAATAGATTTTGCGGAAAACAAAATACAAAATAAGTCCGCCATGTTTTATCCCAAACACATTCCTACAATGTATTTCGTGTACGGTATCATGTAAAAGCTTTGACAGAGGTCTATAGTCGATAATAGTTGAAGCGCGGTCTCTTGTTTAAAATTCAAGTCTCGCCCGCATTGCGGACACCTCAATATTACGGACACCCTGATTCAACGAACGGTCACCGCTTTTTTAACTCACTCTACAGTGGATGGATGGATCGATAATTATGATAAATAAATAATTATAGTAAAAACAAACTTATCATTTAGAAACGGCATCTCTATCAACAGTGACGTTGATTTCCCTAGAGGCCGTACAAGAGGATGGTCGGATGGATGGAAAGATGGACGGACGAAACGAATAAATAAATAGCGAAATACAATAGCAGCTACCTTTGTCCATGGGAACCAAGAACCAGAGTTAGGTTGAACATTCCACTCGTCAATGACAATCCCGACCGTTGATAGGTTCTTTGGAAGTGCCTCTCCTTTAAGGGCTGCAAGTAATGTTGTTTTGCCATGTCCCTGAAAAGAGCGCATGCCAATCACAGTTTAGAATGAGTGTTAGTCATCGACTCTTACGACGATGATTTCGGAGGAACAACATCAATAATATATAAAAATCTAATCTAATAAACCAAGCGTACATTGATTAAGCGAATGTGATTGTTTTTGCCTGCGAATCTCCATAACCATTGAACACTACTCATGTCTTACGCAATACAAGAATCACGAAAATTCGTTTTTGGTTTAAATAACTCAACGAAAGAATATTTTCAGTTTGTTCCTACCTGAATTCCAACAACCATGAGTTTCATTCTGTAGTAAGGTACAGATTTGCGAAGTGTCGCCCGCAAGTAAGCTAGGGTATCTTTTGGTCGGACGCCCATGGTGTCTGAAAATGAAATTAGTAATGACTTATTATTATAGATTGTTTTGTTGGAAAAATATGACGGAATCATATCATGAAATTTGTCTGTTTCACGGATCCTTTTTCATAAGCGGGAAGATTTACCAACGAACACTAGTTTCTCCGTTTCCGATGAGTATCTAGACCGGACATTTCAGTCTGTAGGGGGAAGCTTTACTTCCCCTCCCCTTCCCCATTTAGAACTCTCCATACTATGGGTCTACTACATGAGTCATTGAGCTTGTCAAGTTTGTAAACAGTCAAGCTTGCCAGTTGTCTAGCTAGAGCCAACATAATGGCACAATGAAACAAAAGAGACACTATACAACTGTCCATACCTGGTCTAACGTGCTTTGGTAGCCTTATCAAGTTCAGATTATTGAGTCTTAGTTGCCAACAATCTCTTAAGTTTCCAAGTTGTGGTGGGAGAGACTTCAGGTCAGGATTACTGGTTAAATAGAAACAAAAATTTAAGTTTTCTCCTGGTATGCTTGTTTTCCTCCATCATCAAAATTTAGCTAATTCAACTTGACTAAATGAACGATGACCAAATACAAATTTAATCTTACTCGCTGAGATCCAGCTCAATGAGGTTTGTCAACTGACAAATTGACAGTGGAACTTCTTGAAGGCAGTTATGGTTCAAAAACAAAGTTTCTAGTGTTGGAGCAAATAAATTTACAGGAAGCTCATTCCCCTTTTTGTAGTCTTGGTTTTCATCTTGGCTCGGTGTTTTGAACAGCCTTTGCAGAGTTCCACCTTGACCTTCAGAAACAGACTTAAAACTAACCTAAAATACAACCAAAAGCTTTGCTTAAAGTATAGTCAAGACTTAAGGGCTGGGTTGTCCTTAAGTAGCTTGATTAACATTAATCCTGGGTTAAATCTTTATTAAAAACATCCAGTCCTATGAATTTAACCCTTGATTGTTACTAAGTACTTATAAAGTAGGCTTTGAGTAGCAACCCAACCAATGCCCACAGTTCAATCCAAAGTCAGGGTGATCATCACTTTTCTGTGTGTGCCTCCAACCAACAACAATTTTTACCAATGAATACATCTGCTGTAATTGATTATACTCAATTTTGTGGATCTCAGCAATAACTTGAAAGGTTGCATTTATGAACTATAGAAGAACTTTGACACTTGCTATTGTACATACCTTATTGTGAGACAAATTGAGCTTATGAAGGTTGATGCATTTCCAAGAATTCTCTGGTGGTAAGCTTTTGATGCGGTTATTACTTACATTCAGGTCAAAGAGGCAGGACAGCTGACAGACACTCCAGGCAATAAAACCCAAGCTGTTATGTGAGAGGTTTAAATATCTTAGAGTATCTGACCAGACCATGTCAATGTTGGCAGAGAATTCGGTTAGTCGATTGAAGGAAATATCAAGGGTTTCCTGGAAAACAATTTCAACTATTAATACTTAATAACAGCACAACATAATAACTTATTAATTAAAGTTAGTAGGAAGTAAAACAACCAGCAGTTCACAGCTTTTTCACAGTTGACAGCTTTTTCACAGTTGACAGCTTTTTTGGGCGTGCCTGTGCATGTCTTTGCTTACACTTTAGTTGACCTCCGGTTGCAAATTATAACAATTAGCATTTTATAGCAGCTATACTTGTTGAGTGCATTGCATGTCAAGCTCTACATGGATCGGTTGACAGCTTTAGTGTGCCCGCTGCCTGTGCTTGCAGTGGTTACTTTTTTAGCGAAATGGTAGGTAAAATAAGTCTTCAGTAGTACCCTGATTTAAGTTTATCTTACCAAGGGACATTTCCATGGCATTGGAAAGTCTTTAAGTTTATTGTTATTCACAAACAACTTCACCAGCCCAGAGGCACTCTGAATTCCACGTGGAAGACAAGTTAGCAAGTTATTATTAAGCTTCAAAACTTTAAGAGTGGGGCACCGCCATGTGTTTCCCATGTCCAAACTCTCCTCATCATCCAGCGTGCTAATCATGTTGTGTGAAAGATTGACTTTGCTCAAGGTTTTGATCCGAAAAAGTGAACTTGGGACAAAGGAGAGTTGGTTTCTTTGAAGAAATAACTTTTCCAGACTAGAAAAAGAATAGAAAATATAGTTGAAAATGTTAATGGAAATAGGGCCATTTTTACAGCTTTTGCCTTGAGAGGAATGCATAGAAAATTGTGGTCATCACATTGGGTCGATCACAACCGTCTACTGACCCATTACATTGTATTCACAAAGACAATTTTTCAAACAAGGCCATCCCCCCTCCCCCCAAAAAAATACAGGATACTTTTCATTTTAACCTTGGAAGATCAAGAACAAAATGGGAGAGCTGATTTTATTTCCAGTCTTTCTTAAAGTTACCTGACTTACATGTAAGCCCAATTTACCTTTCAAAGTTAGCCCTCTGATATTCAGGAAATATAAGAGACAGGAATTTCATTTTAATGACAAATGTACTTTTAGTAACAGCAATTTCAATTTACTTTCTGGACAACTACTACAATTTCAGCAACAGAGATTTCATTTTTGAGAGTACCAGTTGATTTTCAGTAATTTCATTTTAATTAGTCAATCATTGATTTTTAATGAAAAACATGTCAATTTAGCCACAGGAAACTGTCCTATTTACCGAACTGTGAAACTTTCATACAACTATTTTAAACATCCCATTAACTGTATATCTTAGATACATGTACAGTTGAACAAAAACATTACTAGATTTACTGTTATTGACTTTTTACAGGGTAATTTACATATTGTACAAAGGTCCAATCTCAAAGATTCAAAATGTAATTATAGCAAAAATAATAGTAAATTATATACCATATTATACAAGTCATGTATATTGAGTGCAAATTTCCTAAGAGATTATAAAATTGTACAAAACTATATTATATGAAACAGTATCTAAAAACAATTACCTTGTTGGGCAATCTCCAAAATTGATATCTGGTAGACACAGCAGCTTGTTATTTGACACATCAAGTTCTTCCAGTACACACAAACTAGTGAAAAGCTCATCAGGAAGCTCCTGAAGATAGTTGTTAGATACATCTATTCTGGTGAGAACAACAGACAAGTTGACAAACCAGCCTTTGTAAAGAGAATGGATATTCTTTGAGGCCCAATGTGCTTCTATCATGCTTATACTTGGGTCGGGTTCAAATGATAGCATTGTTTTTCTTTTCGATTTGACATCTCTAGTAAACCTGGAAAAGAATGATTATCTCAGTACTGTAATTGAGTATAAATATAATGTTTATTGACATGATGTAAACTGTAATTATTGGCTGAGGTTGTGTATGATATAAAGAACAGCATGCTGTGTAAATCATTTTAAAGGTCAAGATTGCTGTAATACACTACATATTATTATAATCTAGACTTACATTGTAAAGACTTTCCCTAAAAATTCATCTCCAAACTCTTCCACAATCTTGACAGTTACCATGGCACCATTTTCTATGAGATACTTAGCTACATTTTGCTTTTTACCAAGACAGGCCCCATACAATGGTGAATGAAGATCTATCATCACAGGTCTGTCATCTTCATTTTCAGCAGAGATGGGAGGAGGGTTTATACTGACCCTTTTTCTAATAAAAAGTTTAACTAATTCCAGATGTCCTTCTAGTGCAGCTATATAGAGCAAATATTGCCCATGTTTTTGGATTATAACAGGCTTTTCATTAATTAAGAATTCTACAACGTCAACATGACCATTCTGACAAGCAAGCTCAACAGGGGACTCATTCATTCTGTGTTTAACACTCTCTGCTCCTTTAGAAACAAGGAGCTTGACGATATCAATATGACCGTTGACACAAGCTTCTGAAAGTGGTGTTTCTCCTTCAGCTGACATTTTATTGACATCAGCACCAAGCTCTATCAACTGTCGTACCACATCGTCGTGGCCATTTGCAGATGCTATGTGAAGTAGGTATAGTGAGGGAGTTCCTGGGTGGGAAGAGGGTTCGTCTGTTATAATCCTAAGAGCCTCATTTTGGAAGTCATTGTAAATTATATCCAGGAACTGACTTAGATTGCCACTTGTGCATGCTTGATATAGTTGTTCAGTCAAACCTGGGTGTAGAAAATTTGCGATATAAACAATAACATAATGCTGTGTTAACATGTACTAGGTACCAGTTAGTTTAGTCTAAAATCAAACAGTTTAATCAGCTTATTCTAAAGTTATTAGTTCAACTTGAAAGAAATTGAGCTTTGTCAGAATTGTAAGATTAACCATTATATTACAGAGTGAATGATATCGCGTTACAGGCCAGAATAGATCGAGATGCATTCAAATTAGATCAATCAATCAAATTTAGCTGACAAGTAATATTTGCGTTGTCTGCTGTACAAGAAATATTTAGAAATATCTAGAATCTATTGTGCAAGTTGTGACGTCCCGCAAAGTTGAATAAAGATTCAATCAAAATACGGCAATCGTTCAATAATCGCAAATGAGCTATCTAAAATCACTTTTAGATCGGTAAAGTAAACTTACTTAATTTCAGACAGGTTGTCAGAACACAACCATCACAATTAACTGAACGGGTCACACAGTGAAGCGAGTGTACAATCGCTAAGTTCAGCATACTTATTATGCCTGAATTCACACCTACCTGCATTCATATCTCCATATCTTCAAACAATTAATAATTTGAATAATATCTCCACAAGTAAGGACGTGTAGAGAGAGAAACCATTCCGGAAATAGTTTTCGTTTCTTGGAACTTGCAAAACAAACTTTGTGTTCCAGGAAGACTGGTACCTAGAAGTGCAGAGCTCGCGCGGGTTTCCTTTGTGTTTGATGAGTATCATAATACGCAATTCTTTAGTTTTTCTGACTACTTTGTGCACACTTTTTACTCGAATAAACTACTTTTACTTTAATAAAGCTCACAAAAAGGTTTAAGTTGAGATCTTTCGGAAACATTTCGTATACAAAGCACTACACTAGTTGGGCCTCCTGTGTTGGACTATATTTGGCATGACCGCTGTCTCCCGGATGTGAAGTTGGCGGGAAGCTTTGCAAATCAACAAGACAAGATGTCGAAGCGTGGAGCTGCAGTCAAGAAGGAGCCTTCTTCTTCCTCTAAGAAAGCTAGAAAGTCCATCGTTAATTCACATTTTAGTGTACAAAAGCCTTCCTCGACCAAAGGTTTTGTCGATGGATCGATCTACAGAGTTAAAATGAAGAATTTCTCGTAAGTTGTGTCATGTTGTTTGAAGTGTCAAGCCATTCAAAAGCGCATCAGACATACCGCGATTCCGGCGTGTTGACGGACATTTTCTTTCGTGATTGCTTTTGTAGGACTTATGATGAATGTGAATTTAGTCCTGGACCGTACCTTAACATTCTTGCAGCGCCAAACGGTAAGATCCCTTATGTCAAGGGGTGACATCTTATAAACCGCAAACATTCCACATCATTGCCTAATCAATTCCACACCGTGTTCAATTCTTCACTGCGTCAGATGCTCACAAGACTCCTTGAAATGAAACATGTTTGCATGGTTTTGCCTTTGCGCAAATATACGGACAGTATGTCATAATTTTGCACGCATATGAATATTTTTAGGTACAGGAAAGTCTTCGGTTGTATGCGCAATCTGCCTTGGACTTGGAGGTCACCCCCGTTTACTTGGAACAACTAGCGAGGTATTGTAGATTATGCATGTGCACGTAAGAAATTTGGAATGGCTATGTTTGGCTCTGCTCTGTATATACTGTAAAGATTTGTAGATATTTGTCTCAAGTAGTAAAGAATAAAAATCAAACAGTATGTGTATATATATGTCTAAAAGTTTTTAATTTTTTAACTTCCTTTAGGTAGGAGGGTTTGTGAAACATGGACGTCCACAAGGAATGGTTGAAATCGAACTGTAAGTGGGAATTCCCCGATCATCCCTTCTTTACATAGAGTTATCAGCAAACATTGAGCAGTTTTCCCTGTGGAAGTGAAACTGTCTGAGCAACAAACATAAAAATCGAATATTTGTACTAAATCCATTAGCTTTTCCTGATGAAAATGTAAAAAAAAACCCATTTAACACAAGGCAAGTTCCTACATACATGTGTCGCAGCATTTTTGGTATCTTTTCCATGTTCATAGGAATATTTTCACTTGTCTGACGTAGCAACAGTAACTAGGGAGGTAATATAGGATAATGAATTGGGATTGGTCAATTCAAAGGATGGAAATGCGCAGTATAAACAAGCCATACACAAGACGCAAGCATACACAATACTTACTAGAACCATCTTCTCTTTCCAAAGGTTCAATTCAAATGGTCCAAACTATGTAATAACAAGGGAAATCACCAGAGAAGGGAATAGATCGACTTGGAAACTAAATGGAAAATCTTCTACCTTAGGAGAGGTAATTTGGACACTGTAGCAAGGAGTATCTGGGTTTTTGCTTGGATTCTGAGTATTAAAGAAAGGCAAAAGTTTTGAGACAAATGTTTTGAAGTCAAAACCATGATGTTGTCAATGGCAAGTGTATGATTTTGTGGTGACACTGTTTTGTTTACATCTCAGTATTATATTTTGCTACGTAGGTACACGATGTACGTGATCAGTTGAATATCCAGCTTGACAATCTGTGCCAGTTTTTGCCACAGGTAACCAACAATGATGTATTCTCTCTTGTCATACAGAAAATTTGCAAAGATGTCTCCCAGAATTATAATTATAATTATGTATTCCTTTCTCATTTAAGTTCAAAGTGGAAGAATTTGCTAAAATGACGCCACAGTTACTGCTTCGTGCAACTGAGACAGCAGTGAGTAACAAGAAAAGAAAATAAATTTTATGCTTCAAAAACTGATTTATTCCATTAAAATATCTCCCAATGTTAACAGGTTGGGCCTCCTGGAATGTTAGACAACCACAAAAAGCTTATTGAGCTTAGAAAAACTCAGAAAGATCTTGAGGCAAGTATTGTACTTTTTATGTATCAATAATATACTGTTGCTCTTTTTTGACTTTGTTTTATATTAACAGTTGACTCTGAAAGGCAAACAAGAGCATCTTGAACGACTTCAAGAACAAAATGGACAGCTTGAACATGAAGTTCGCCGTTTCCAGGAAAGAGAGCGTTATATGGAAAAAGTCCAGATTCTGGAAAAGAAAAGACCATGGGCTGTAAGTCGCATGAGCAAGTTGTTATTTTATTTCTGTGAACCAGAGAAATAATAAAAAATAAATTATGATAAATTATTATTTATATGGATAATAACATGAAGAAACTAGAGTAAAAGAATACTGCTCTCCTTCATAGGAATATGAGCAGACAAGAGTAAAATTTGTGGCATCTAAACAAGAGAGAGATGAAGCTAAACAGAAACGTGACATGACAAGAAACCAAAATGCTCCCATGGCTAATAAACTAAGCAAGGTTGATAAAGATCTCAAAGACCTTGAAGCAAGAATGAAACAACAGGTGAATGATGCATTAAATGCACTTTGGGTTATATTGTCTTGCTCGGGCTAAAAACTGAGGGAATGTTCCAGTTTAATACAATATTTAATAGTTTACAACATGAGTAGTTGAGATGTGGGCATCACAATTGCGTACTCAAGTGTGACATCACAAAAATACTTTTTTTTCAAATTTTTCGTATTCATTGAAATATCCTTAAGGCGCATGGAAAAAGTAGCTATCTACAAAATTTCAGTGTTCTAGTGCCATTTATAGCGGAGATTCAAGCGATTTTATGGTTGGGTGACCACATACAAATGCTTGTAAATTTGGTCGTGTTCCTTTCAAAAAAGAAAAGAAAAGAAAAGAAAAGTTTCTGAGAAAACGAAGAAAGAAAAGGATAAAAGAACAAGAGAAAAAAAAAACATTCTGATGAAGAATGCAGTGAAAAAATGCAGAATTCTAGAAAAAAATCTGAATTCTTTCATTTTCACAGTATTTTGTCTTTACTTTTTAGAATGAACATGGCAATGAAATAATGCGAAGAACAAACTCCAAAAAAGAGCAATTTGAGAGGCTGATTGACCAGGTAATTCCTAAGGGAATGCAACACATGTACATTATTATAATAGTCACAGTTTCGCTTCTACAAATTGCTCCATCCAATTGAGTTTTAATTCATAAATTTTTCATTGTTTCCATTTTTAGGTTGAAGAATATTTAGCCCAGTTAAAGGACATGAAAGATAAGGAAAAACGTAGTGAAAAAAAGTAAGAGAAAAATGCACCCTGTCCTCACAAGAACTTTGTTATTGTTAACTTGTTTAACACCAAAGAGGTTTTTCTCAGTGTTTGTGCTCAGTTTTGCTTTCCAACATGTATTTATACATGTACACTGTAGTAATCGTGTATTGTTAAAGTTGCTGTACATGCATGTCATTTTGCCCCAGCAATCATAGGCTGTCCTGTGGCAGTTTCTCTGCTAATTATTTCAGTGAAACTGATGAAATAAAATAAAATGACTTTGAAAAGCAATACACCATCAGCTACATGTAATCTGTTTTCATGTGATCAATAATACAATTTTCTGGTGAATTTTTACCCTGCAGAATTCAGGAACTTGAACGTCAAATGCAAGGAATTCAAAGTGAGCTGGAAAATCTACCAGATCCTGAGACTTTACAGGTTTGATGAGACAAGCTGTAGTTTGTATTATTACTGTAGCAATCATTTTGCTATGTTTCTTTCATCTTTTTCTCCACTGTGCACAACAACATCTTTTTTTTCATCTTTTTATGGTTTATAATTACTTTATTTTTCTTTTGACAACTAGATTTACTAATATTAAACAACTTTATCATATTAACAGCCACAAATTGAAGAAGTTAACACACAAGCCCGTCAAATCAACAGAGAGCTTACAACAATACAACAGGAAGGAAGCAGAATCGTGGAGGAGAAAAGGCACTTAACAGCTCAAGCATCAGGTTTGCCAAAATCCATTTATGCTTTTTATTATTTGAGATCATTTGCTCAGTTTAATAATGTTTGATGTAGGTGTGATGTGATCGTCAGTGTGCAAGAAGTGTTGAGGAAGACTTTTATAGTACCTGATGTTTCAATATCCTGCAAAATGACCTTCAGAGTGTTTTAGTAATGTTTATGGTGTTTTGTTGTAGATGCAAAGAGCAGATTGAGTGTACTTGAAGATATCAAGAAGAAGAGATTAGATCTGCTTCGTAATATGTCCAGAGATACTTACAATGCTGTAATGTGGCTCAGAGAGAACAAGGACAAGTTTAAGCAACAAGTTTATGAACCCATTCTTTTACAGGTGATTGCAAGCAATCAATTTATTAATTTGACGATTAAACTTGGAAAATATAAAGGCCTGTTTACACTTTTGAAGCACGATTGTCATGCGACAATCACCTGAGTTTCAAACATGCTTGAAATTTAGCTGCAACTCGATCACCGTGACAATCGCAGGGCTGTTTACACATGCAATTTGAGGTGTGCAAAAACAAAGTGGCGGTTGTCGCGCGACAACCGCACTGAAAGAATGTCAAGTGTAAACAGTCCTTAATGCTGTATTAGATCTGTATAATGTCATGGTCTACCTCCCAATTCAAATATCCATTAAAGATGACTTCAGCCATTATTTAATATGTGGCTTGTTCATCTTTAGATTCAATGATGTGCTAATCCATTCATTTTGTCATTCATCCATCCATTTGTTTTCATTATCCATTTGTTCATCCATTAATTCCATTGTTCATCTATTCGTTTGGTCAGTTACATTTGTCAGTGCTTTCATTTGTTCACCCATTCATTTCATTGTTCATCATTTCATTTGTGCATCCCATTTTTTGTCCCATTCATTCAGTTATTATTGTATTCCCATAGGTGAACATGCTTGATGTAAACAATGCCAAGTACTTGGAAAGACTCATCAGTAATAATGATTTAAGGTCATTTGTATTTGAAACAAGAGAAGACATGAACCTATTTCTCCATGAGGTAAATACATGTACTTACTGACTATTATCGTGGTCGAGTTGTTCAAAGCCCCATTAGCGTTAATCCAGGGTTAACTTTATAGGTTTTCTATGGGTTAACCCAGGATTAGCACTAATCGGGCTTTGAACAACTCGGCCCTGAATTATTACTGAATACAGTCATACATTATAGTTATTATAGCTAATTTAATAGGCCTTTTCTGAGATAGCAGTGCGCATTGCATTGTGGTCTAGGTTCAGTACAAACATCTTTTGTTCACGCCCTGCCAAATATGGCGTTGTTTGAGCTGAAGGTAGACGACACTGCACCATGAATTTGTATTTCAGAAAAGACCTTTTTCTGCATGTCTACAACTCAATCATGCTTGATTAAAACTGACACTGGACATACATCTGAAAACAGCTATGAAATTGCATTCTGCAGATTAGAATTAATCCTTTCACCACTACTGGCTACTTTAGAGGAGAAGGCAAAAAATGAGAAATCAACAAGAGGTGGTGATTGGATAAAGGGAGATCTAGATCTGTAAATACCTGTTTTCAAACAGAAAACAATACTGCAGCACAAAGCACGTAGTCTATTGCTGAAGGTCACTGATGTAAGCTGTTCTCAATTTTGTTTTTATTAGGTTCGCGACAAACAAAACTTGAAGGTCAATGGTGTTACTCCACCACCAGAACCACTCTCTCATTTCAAGCCAACTCGAAGCATTGATGATCTAAAGTATGTGCAAGAATAATGCATAGATGTACATGTATTTATACACTGTAATCCAGCATATTTGTGATGCTTGTTGTCTCAAACAGGAAATGGGGGTTTCATTGCTACATCAAGGATATGTTCACAGCACCAGATGCAGTCATGAAGTACTTGTGTGAGAACTATAGAGTCCATGACATCCCATTGGGTAGTGACTACACGGCTAAGAATGCTGAAAAAGTTATCAACGAATCTGGACTGACTAATTTTTTCACGCCATCATCAAGGGTAAGATTGTATTACTTTTTTTGAAAGCTGGTATCTAATCAAAGCTATAATGTATTAAAATGGTCAATTCCAGAGTGATATCATGTGTCTTCTCTCCCCGATTTTTTGAGGGGTGAGAAATGTATCTTGGTCAGTTGCCTCATGGTATACAAAAGTATTGAGATGGTGGATTATTTTATAAAACTAAGGAAGAAAAAGTTTCTATCTGAAAAGTTTTTTGTCCAAAATGATTCAACGTATTCCAGTATTTATGAAACACTGCTATGAAACATAGAATAGTTTGAAGCAATTCAATATTGAATCCATTCTATATATAGTACACAGTCAAGAGGTCCAAATACGGCAATAGAGAAAGATCAACACGTGTTGACCATATTGGGTAAGTCTGATTTTATATTAATTTACGAAATTGATTTACATCTGCTGTATGAATTCAATGTTTATTATATATGATTGTATATTTTTTTCCATATAATTTTAGGGATGCAAGGTTCTTCAATAATTCTGTAGATTTGGAAGCAAAGCGAATTCTTGAGGCAGAGCTCCAGGTACCATTTTTAACTGTAATCCTATTTTCTATGATTGGTAAAACATGCAAAGTGTCTATCAAATCCATTAAAGGGGTACTTGGACGTAATGTATGGTCGTTTTGAAAAACCTGCAATATTACGTCTTAGCCGCTGAAACTTTCTCAACATAAAGATAAATAAACAAGAAATCACTCTGTAAAGTTTCATTTCGATATTTCAATGGGAAGTATGACATATTTACGATTTAGTTTTCGTCCGCCATTATTTTCTCTGATGTTATCTTATGCTGCCTTTCTTTCATGCATTTCCTATAAACAAATGAATAGAAATATAAGACTAAAATCATACACTTCGTTTTTGTTATTTATAACATGACAATATTAGCAGCTATACATTTCAATTTCATGAACATAAGGAGTCTAGAAAGGACAATACAGGTCAAACCAAGCCAAACACATTGTAAATACAAATATGGAGAGGGGATCTGTTAAAAGATTGCCACAGAATTGTGGTAATATTTTTCTATTACAATTAAAMATTTTAGAGTKGTTTTCATTAACCCGTGAAATACACTTCAGCATATTTCACTTTATTACACTTTGTCTTTGATCTTTTGTTTTCTATTAGAGTGGTTCTCATTAACCCGTGAAACAAAGTGTAATAGTCAAAGTGTAATAAAGTGTAATAACCGAGAAATATAATASAAAACAAAAGAGACAAAGCGTAATAAAGTGTAATATGCTAAAGTGTATTTCACAGGTTAATGAAAACYACTCCAATGTTAAATTAAAATTAAGTGTGCATATGGCAACAAAACACAACTTTTGTTTACTAAATGGATTATGTGAAATAAAACAACCATGGTTAAAACAGCAAGAGATGCAATGAGCTACAAGCAAATACACATATGAACCAATGAATAGCATACTTGAGCATGAGAAAAAAAGCCATTTGCACATATACACACAAAGACTAACATTAGCAAACACAAATGTGTTCCTCCAACATGCACCAGGTATGTTTTTTTTAATATTGCAGCTGAATAATTGAAGTGATAGTATTGTAATTGTGTGTATGGATGTACTGACACCACTTAACTAAAGATACATTACAATTACATGTAAGTTTCAAACTTTGGACAATGTCTGGTTAATAAAAATAGTATGATTTGATGAGTGTATTTAACTATAAGGTTAATTATATCTTTAATCTCACTTATTACTAACATTAATATTTTTATTTGATCTCATTTTTATGGTTGACCACAATCACTTACCGTGAGTCGTCGACTTTATGTTCTCAACGCTTTGTAGATTCGTCCTYGGTACAAAGGCCAATGGATTCAACCTCCAAAGTCTTTTATCAATCGTATCTTTATGAGCTAAAGCCTTCATTCGTTCAAATGAATCCGACCTTCGCATTGAATCTGTCAAGAAGCATTTGCTCTTCTTCTTGACCCTCTTTCGCTTCTACTACTAGCCATTTGTMTCAAGGAATGATTTGGACCACTTAAAATTTACGAAGGGAGCAAAAATCTTGTTTTTTAAAGCTAAACTTCTATCGCTGATACATGTAAACATACAGTCTATAAACGATGTCATTAGTATGCGTTGGACCTATGACGTCATAGGGAAGTCCGCTGTWCACATTTACTTTTTGGCCGTGAGTAGAGAAAATAATGGCGGATGAAAACTAAATCGTAAATATGTCATACTTCCCATTGAAATATCGAAATGAAACTTTACAGAGTGATTTCTTGTTTATTTATCTTTATGTTGAGAAAGTTTCAGCGGCTAAGACGTAATATTACAGGTTTTTCAAAAACGGCCATACATTACGTCCAAGTACCCCTTTAATGCTATGTACAATGACTGTTGTTAAAGGAAAAAAGGACAATAGATTCAGAGGGTAATGGCAACTATTACCTTCACTAATCTTGCATAGTCAAATGAAAGCGACTGGATGTTTCTTTGTTTACACAGAGAATTACTTACATGTACTGCAGTTTGGTTATATTAGTGTTTATTTTTTACACATAATACTATTGTTTAGTACATTTAGTGTTTAAGTTCATAACTTTGAGATGTACATGCTTGTTTTTAACAAATTAACTAGGAAATCCAAACCCAATTGCAAAGCATGAATGAACATTATAAAGAGCTGCAAGGAAAAGAGTCAGGATTAAGCAAAAAGCTGGAAGAGCTGAGGAACAAGAAGGTGATGCTGGAAATGTTTATTGGTTTGCCTTAGTGTGTTTATTACACTGATAAACTGTGTTTCTGTGTACAGAAAAACCTTAATTCTCAACTGCAAAGAAGACGGACGCTTGGGAATCAGCTTGAAAATAAACAAAAAATGTGAGAACATGCCAATTTGATGATATCTCTATGTTTAGTAGCATATTTTTCTAAAATCGTTGTTGATTATCCGTTTTTTTCTTGTGACTATTTGAAAGATGACATTTTACCTTTGCTTGATGTGAATTGGGACTGAAGTTTGCACAATATCTACAATTATTATGTATTGTATATAATATTTAGTGTTATTTTCCTTGAACCTTGAAAAGTCCAGTTAATTTTAGTTGATAAAGTTGTACAAACAATGTAATTTTGATATTCAAATGTACTGTAGGATAGAGACAACAAAGAAGGAAGCTCCAAATCTTCAAAAGGAAGAAGCTCGAATCCAAAAAGAAATAGACAAAACAAATGGCAAAAGAGTTGCTGCTCTCAAACAATTTAAAGATGGAATTGGGGTAGGGTACAGTGTACAGTTAGTGCTTGTTTGGATGCAGAATTTCTGCATAGAAAACATGCAAAATTAAGCACAATTTGTTATTTGCAGGAATGTGTCAATGTTGGCAAAGAGAAGCTGAGGAGCAGTTTGCAGCATGCAAGACTTTCAGCAGAGAAGACAAGAATTGGAAATCAGTTTAGAGAAGCACAAGAACAAATCAAAAAAGCTGAGGTAAAATTCTTGGAAAAATTGTTGTTCCTTGTACTCCTACGTCCCATAGTTCATAAAACAGACACAAGGTATGCGGTGAGCGGTCTAAGCCCATAACATTTTATTCCAAAAAACACAGCCTAAAATTACAAATACCATCACACAGAACTCACACACTCCTATGAAAACTAAGCAAAAGGAACTTAGACCACAATGATTGAATTAATTTCAACTTGACCTTATAAACAACATCCTAATTAGCATACAAGCACGTACACTAGTGTCCAGTCCTCCGTCGCTAAGGAAATTATTTCTCTCTCCACTCACACTCACTACGTTCATAACCGTTACAAGAGAAATACATTTTTCTATCAGTAGTTTAAAGATGAAACAGTATCCTTCAATGTAAGATTGTTTTGCTTCTGTACAAATATCTTATTTTTTATCATATCATTTTGTTGGTGTGCAGTCATTGTTGTTAAAATTATTAAAATTTAAAAGTCGTTTCCAACTATAATCCCTTGTGTCACCTAAACCTTCCTCTGAATGCTTTTATAGGAAGAGTTCGAGGAAGCCCAGAGAAAATGTGATTCCCTGAAAAACAAGGCTAAAAGCTTGAGGAAACTAGCACACCAGAAAACAGACATACCCGAAGGGCAAGACGTTCCTGCAAGCTTAAAAGAGGTATTGTATTTTAGAGTTTGAAAATTATTCATTGTTATAATTTTTTGGCCAAAAGGGAAACTGGTGGTATCGGAAGTTTAAATCTTGACTTCATTACTGCATAGCTACCATTTTGAATTAGTGGAGGCATGTTTTCAGGTTACAGGCTCATGTTTATAATATTGAATTCAGGTTATTTGATGTGCTGTTATGTCCCTTGCAATGATGATTTTAAATCCTAATCAAGAATTAAAGGGACACTGTCAATGGCACGCATGCACGAGTAAACTTGAAAACATTAGGCTAATGTTTTCAAGTTTATGACTCCAAGTTGGCGCAACATAAATCAGATCGTAAACGCAAACAAATCTAGAATATTCCAAAGTGTGTCAAAAGCACCACTAAATGATTTACATGTACCATGAAGGTAATACTTTCAAAGTCCGTTAGAGGTGAGACTGTTACTGCGCATGTCATCCATTGACAGTGTCCCTTTAAACTACTTGTAATGCATTGTAGTTGTGCAAGTAACTTGCACTGAGATTCAAAAAATCATTGCATGTTTCCAGTTTCTGTTTTTCTGTTTCATGGAATTTGTTATTAATAATCTCTTGTATTTTATTTTTATCCACTAGGCTTTCAAGCTATACCCTGATACTCTAGATGAAATCGATGAAATGATCCATGAACAGAGAGCCAGAGCAGAGTGCAACCACCAGACTGACCCTAGAGTAAGCATCTATTATAGATTATAGTCAAATCGATTTGAAAATATAAAGTTAATATTATTGTCATGTGTTGTTTTCAATGTCTTTCATTAGGTTGTGAAAGAGTATGAATCACGGAAGAAGGAGATTAACAGTTTGTCAGCTGTGGTAAATACAGAGTCAGCTGACCTCGAGACAAAACAGCAAAAGATTGATGAACTAAAGGAGAGGTAATATCTGAATATGTGTATGCTGTAAGATAAAAAAGGGCTACTTTACTGTACATGACATTATACTGAACTCTTAGAATTATGATGAAGTATTAAAGTAGAGCAACAGGGCTAATTGATATAATTGAAGTTAAAGGCACTGAACCAAAAATGAAACTCTTCTGAAACCAAAATTTTTGTATTGTGAGCACTTCTTTCAGTATCATGCAGCAGTGTTCGCACTTGTTCAATACTCTGACAAATTTGTGCATGGCATTGTATTCTATTTAATTTCACCACTCTTATATTATTGTATTGTAGTAGATATAATACAATACAATGCTGTGCATACATGTAAATTTGTCAGAGTATTTGACAACTCTAGCAGTGTCATGTAAACAAAATCAAATTGATGTTGCAACAAAAGTTGAAAGCGTTCGCACTGGCTTTAATACATGATTATCTGTTTTAGTTGGCTGACACCTCTTGAAGAACTAATAAACCAAATCAACACCAGATACGGACAGTTCTTTAGAATGATGGGATGTGCTGGAGAGGTTTCTCTTGCTAAAGATCAGGTCTGTGCATCAACATTAATAAGAATTGTAAAATGAGTGTGACAAATACAAGTATGGGATTTCAGGACAAGAAATACAATTTACAATGTTAACACAGGTCAATGGAAAGCCACACTTGAACTGCTTATGTACATCTACCATTGTTTTTTATCCTGGAATATTTCAACTGAATTCAATGTCAGTCATGCTAAAGAAAGAATATTTTTAAACAAAGTCTGAAAGAATGGACATTAGTGTTAACTAATACAGTAATTTTGCTGTCAGGTTGAAAATGAGTTCGACAAATATGGCATTCAAATCAAGGTCAAATTTCGTGCTAAGGACTCATTACATGTACTAAACCCACATCATCAAAGTGGTGGAGAAAGGAGTGTTTCTACAATGCTTTATCTTATGGCAATACAGGAGATGACAAATTGTCCTTTTAGGGTAGTAGATGAGATAAACCAGGTAATGTCCTGGAAATACATGTATCAAAACATTGAGAAGATATGCCTTTTAATACAATATTAATTGTTGAAATTATAATGTATTACAGGGAATGGACCCAAATAATGAGAGGCGTGTGTTTGAAGTTGTTGCTCGTACTGCTTGCAAAGAGAACACCTCGCAGTACTTTCTAATAACTCCCAAGGTATTGTTATTATTGTATTGTATAAGAATCCAAACTATCCAATAAAGAAATTTAATAAGTATTGTGAAAAAAAAAAAACAGATTCTCTGTAACCTTTTTCTATACTATGACTAGAAAACAGGTTTTTCTTATGATTTAACAAATTTATATATTTTTTAATATTCATTAAGAATTTGTAAATATTCATTAAATTCAACTTAAGGAGGCTGCTAGTAATGTGATGATTATATAAAAAACTATCTAAACAACCTATTTATCATTTCAGCAATGAAAGGAAAATAAGTAACTATACAAATTTGTTTCAAAGTCAGATGAATTAATCTTTATCATCATATTTTTGTCTCTGTTTTCAGCTCTTACCAGATTTGGATTACAATGATAGGATGACAATACTCTGTGTTTTCAATGGCCACTGGATGCTTCCACATACAAAGTGGAATATCAAGGAGTTCATTAGAAGAAAGAGACTACAGTCTGCCACTGCTTGATGTAAAACCTTGAACAATGAACTGCAAGTATTGATGTTTTAGAGGATGGAAGCATCGAGAGAAATAATTGGGAGTAAATTGAGTTTTTTTATGAGGATATAAGGAAAAAAATAATGCAAATATTGTTAAAGTTCAAATTTGAAAACCTGGGAAATGTTGTACAAAGATGTTCCTGTTATTTCAGTAGAAAATTTCAAATTCAAATTTATGATGATTAAAAAAGAGATTTACGCAGTATATAGATAAAATTTAAGTTGGATTAATAGTAGCCTGTTCTATTAAAAATGTCATTTATTGCAAGAGCTTTAGCTTTGACAGTTTTCAATGCTTCGTTGAGCAGAGTAAAAAACATTTTATGTTAGTATGCATACAACATAGGAAATCAAACATTTGCAACAGTTTCTTTTTTGTGATTGAGTGCTCTACTCATAGCAATGCTCAATTAGCAAAACTTTGATACATTTTATAAATTTTTTATTTTACCAACAAAAGTAATGATACAACATGATTATAATGACATGCAAATACCTAACAGTTTACATAATTACTACCTAATTTTTTTTGCCTTATTTTTTGATAATCCTTTTTTCATTTTTTTGGGGGATGAGTGCTAAGGAAAAATGACACAAATGGTTATAATATTATTTACATATTTGACCCATAAAAATGTTCACACGTTTTCCATATTTTACTATAAGAATACTTGGCTTGGATGGTACCCTTATCAAAGAATAAAGAACAAACTGTCCAAAAAATCCAGCATTTGAGTGTTGTTGACTTAAAAGCAACTTAGGAACTTATTTCTTGATATTTGTGGCATATCTGTGTTCACTAAACTTTTTTTAATATTCAAAACAACTAAAGACGACTGGTATGTGGCCTAAGACTATTCCACAATGAAGTCATAAAGGGCCACAGAACAACCTTCTTCATTTGTTGTACACATGTATCGATGCTCATGACATGCTCTGATATGACTGCTAAGCCTATCCCACATGGCTCAGAACCTCAAGTCAAAAAACTACTTCAACCTACAGTAGTCACACCACTTAAACGCTGGATAAGGACCTTTCTTAGGGCTTCAGTTTCTTTGGTCAGTTCCTCAAGCTGAGCTTTTAACTCAGCATTTGATTTTAAAAGTTCTTCTTCCTTAGCAAATAGGTCTTGTTCTCTTTGCTTACGTGAAGCTCTACAAGTCCTTGAAGCTTCATTGTTCTTTATTCTTCTTGCTGTTACTTTGTCAACATTTGCCGATTGTGCAGGAGAATGCTTTTGCCTCTTTACTGGAGTTTCCTCAGATGTTTTTAGCTTTCTTTTTGGTGGTCTGTGAGAGCATTCTAGGTGGAGATCAGTTTTCTCAATGGTTTTCAGTTCCTGTCCATCTGTATTCTCAAGCAACTCGAGCAAATGCTGCAACTCGGCATCAATGTTCACATTCTCTGCAACAGTTGTGGTGCAGGAGTCGGATGTAGAGATGACACTCACAGGGGATGACACACAGGAATAGAAAAGTTCGGACTGCTTCTGATCTACGGGTGCCTCGTCCACTACTTCAACATTAAGGAGTTCCTCAACAGATTTAGTTTCCATATCACTTACATCTGCTTCTGCCAAAAGGTTATCAATCTCCTTCATGATGTCTGGTGAAGGGCATGCTGTAGATTCCACTTCAGATGGATGAGGTTCTATTGAGGGGACAGCCAATGGCTTCAACTCTTTCAATGGCATCTCTTCATCCAAACAAGGGAACATGTCAAGGGTATCAAAATTGGGAATGAGGTCTGGGAAGAGCCCCCCAAGGTCCAAGTATTCTTCATAGAATGGGTCTGCCATGTCTGGGTCAGGTTTAAAGGGTTCCTCCAAGAGGCACCCAGAAACTGAGTCTTGTGCTTCAGATTTAACTGGCAACAAGCCGTCGTTTATTTCAACGTCGTTGATTAGGTTAGATTCAGTGGTCTGATTCCAATACAGTGAGTCTAGAAATTGAAAAACAGAATCAAATATATAAGTACTATAATAATAATAATAATAATTCTCGACTTTCACGTGACGTCATCAGTCGAAACAAAATTCTAAAATCACAGACACACAACATTGTGGTAATGAAATATCTTGAAGAGCATGATAGAAGTTCGCTCTGAATGTTTAAACTTTTTTTGCTGTTTATTCTTTGAGTTATTAGCGTTCAAAGATATGTTACGTAATACTGCCACGCGACTGATACACGCCAAAAATACTCGAAAAGTCTATGAATCTTAAAACAATTATAGTCTCAGCATCAATTTAAATGTTTACAATGATATWGTTTGTAAAKTTAAAGCAAAATCATTAGTTTTGAGCTCAATTCGATGCTCGTAGTTACGGTCCGCCATCTTTATGCTCCTGACGGGGGCACAATCATGGCGGCCCCATACATTTCTTTGTAAAGTAAGACCGTATTAAAACGCTTATATTTTCGCTAGGAAATCACAGTTTTGATTYAAACTTTGCATAACTGTTGGGAGTTATATACTTGTTTGATCCTTGGACTTAAAAAATTAATTTGAATCTTAAAACAAAGATTTTTGTACGTATTTCTTGACTAGTCCGAAACGCATTGAGCCGTGCTAATCCCATACATTCTTACCAATTTTCGATCGCTTGTATTTCTGTTAAAATTCATTATTTTGGCTCTAAATTTCGTCATGATCCTTAAATTAAGATGTTCTCTCGAGAACAATAATAAGAGTTTGCTAATTTTGCCTCTAAATAGCTTTTTTAGACTATCACGTGATCAGTGAAAGTCAAGAATAATAATAATAATAATAATAATAATAATAATAATAATAAAATTAATACAAAAATACTTTTTTGTCTGATTAATTTTGTGAAATAGATTTTACGAATATAACGAATGTCTTCTTCATTTATTTTGATGTTTATAGCACAGGCAGCCCAAGCTAAGCACTTAACTAGCAGATTATAGCAATATCTATAATGCATGTAAATACGAAATTTTTGAAAGAAAAAATAAGTAAAAAACATTTGTCTTACCTTATGATGTGGTCTTAGTTATGAATTAAGGCGTAATTTTCCGTTTTTCTTTGATATCTCCCCTCCTTTACTTATATCACTGAAAGGCAGGACAGMCCGGCTCGAAAAAGTCCAATCGTCAGATCACTTTTTCAGCAAAAATTGCATCTTTTTCGTCCAAATTGAACCGAAAATCCTCGCCATAGCCACAACCAACCGTTTTTCCAACTCCTGTGTAAATCTCAATGTCAAAGAAAAACGTTCAACRGAGATTAAGAGTGATTTAGATCGATTTTCGGTCTCTTTCGGTGAATCCCGTAAGCCGTTGTCCCCTACTCCACCGCCAAACGTAGCCAGAACCTCGGTTTGGCGAGGACATTTTAAATACGCACCACTGGATGGTTCGCCTCGCTTCCGAAGAGACAAAACTAGTTCTTCTCCCGACCAGTGACGAACCATCCAGTGGTGCGTATTCAAAATGTCCTCGCCAAACCGAGGTTCTGGCTACGTTTGGCGGTGGAGTAGGGGACAACGGCTTACGGGATTCACCGAAAGAGACCGAAAATCGATCTAAATCACTCTTAATCTCTGTTGAACGTTTTTCTTTGACATTGAGATTTACACAGGAGTTGGAAAAACGGTTGGTTGTGGCTATGGCGAGGATTTTCGGTTCAATTTGGACGAAAAAGATGCAATTTTTGCTGAAAAAGTGATCTGACGATTGGACTTTTTCGAGCCGGGCTGTCCTGCCTTTCAGTGATATAAGTAAAGGAGGGGAGATATCAAAGAAAAACGGCAAATTACGCCTTAATTCATAACTAAGACCACATCATAAGGTAAGACAAATGTTTTTTACTTAKTTTTTCTTTCAAAAATTTMGTATTTACATGCATTATAGATATTGCTATAATCTGCTAGTTAAGTGCTTAGCTTGGGCTGCCTGTGGTTTATAGCAGGTTGTGGGGGAGGGGAGGTAGAGTCGAACTTAACAAAGGCATCCATGTTACAATTCACAATAGAATACAAATCAATACGAGTGTGCAAACAAGGAAGATTCCCCTACAATGGAGATTACATAAATAATATCTCACCTTTATCAAACTCGGTACAAATTTTGGTTTTCTTTGTGCGAGATCCAATGGCGCAGTCGCTCTCCTTGAATCCGCTGATTTCGCCTTCGTAACGCGTAACAGAACTCAGATGTCCTGTTTTGATATCGCTGATTTCGTTTTCGCAAGGGGTATCTGTCTCGATGTTGTTTTGTTGTTCGCCGTAATTGCTTTTTTTGATAGGTACATGTACTCGGTATGTTGGGTCGGGTTCTTGACTTGGTCGAAACGGTGTATCCAAACCTGGTAAAAACACAGGCTCGATCGGGGTCTCGATCTCGGTCCGGGTCTCGATCTTTTTGTTGTTCCTGTTGGTCTTGAAGCTCGACGCCTTGTAGGTTGGCGAGGGCCAAGAAAATACACTGGAAAAGTTTCGCGTTTCGTTCCATTTTGAAGAATCTGTAGAGGAATCTTCACACGAACTAGACGAAATGGCTTGTTCTTGTTGTAGAAAAGTTTTGGCGGTTTTTAGCGCTGTACGGAAGCGCTAGCCGGCTTGATAGACTGTCGGAGTGTCCTGTCCCCAGCTTCGCCAGAGAAAACTGAATAAAATCTCCAAGTAGATGGCTCTCCCCTCACGAAAAGTGGTATGCTTCCACTCTTGAACTGTACTCGTAACGAACAGCAAGCGTTGCACTATTTCTATTGATGGTGGTGCAATCTTCGTGATAAAAATAGTAGCACACATCACGAACGACCAATCATATCGTACTCTCTAGTGCTTCGGTTTACGTCATGTTTGACCAATCAGAATACAGTATAGCTGTTTTGTTGACGTATTTCCGTACGAAACCAAGGTAACGCACGTGTACTGACACGTGCCGGTATCAAGAGTGGTCACGACATGTGGCTTTTTGTAACGAAAGCAAAGCTCATAAATGTTTGGACTTTATTTTGAATATCATTTTAAAACCAAATCGTTATTTTGACTGTAAAATATATAAGTTACTGAACAATTTTTGAATTAAATAAAAAATAAATAAATAAAAAATATGTAAATCCCGAGCGTTACAGTCTCTTCGAGAGGAATTTGAAATATTTATTTATACGGGAACAAAGCATTGTTGTTCAAGGGCCAACATTTTTCTTCTAGATTCTTCTATTTTGGTTCATTTCTTAAATTTATTGGTTTGAATTTTAATTTACTAGTCTGGATGTAAGTTTAAATTTTTATCTTTGATTCATCATTTCACTTTTTATTTCTTTATTTCACTTTTTTGTGCTTTATCTTCTATTTCAAATGTTATCGATTCATTGAACATTCTCTATACTTAGATTTTGCCTTGCGGGCTTCCTGTGCCTTGAAAACGAACATAAGACGAAATAGTCAAAAGTATTGGAAGAACGTTTTAATTATCATTCAGGTCATGTACACGAGTAGACGCTTAACCAACATCTAAAACTGTATTTTAACATAAAAAGAGCCTTTGCAAAGGGTTTTGAAATGAATAATGCCCGTTACACGTTCCGGGAAATCCACGGATTAGTTTACTCCGAGGTCCAGGTTTCCTGCCCGTAAATGTAATCAACAGAGAATACTTCAGTATTACGTCATATCGAGCATCAAAATAGTGTGTACGGGGTGGGTGTGCGGCCTGGCTTGCGATGAATGTATCCATTGCTTGGTTCTATCTGGGGGGTGCTATCCTTTCACAAGTTTTGCAGCATAAGCTGTACCAAGCCTTATTGTGGCATAATTTGAACTTAAGGACAGACTGACATTGATCATTGTTGTATCTGTCCTTCTTACAACGCCGACGTCTCACTGAAAATGGAAAATTATAGCAGTTGTTAGCTTTATATCAATACTTTTTGTGATTTGGGCTTCCTGTGTTGTGAGTCTTTTCTATGATGCTTTTGCGAACGCAATCCGAGGATTACCGAACATGGCTAAGACATTTTCTCTTGTTAAATCTTACCTGGTACTTTGCATGGTTTGATCAAGCAAGCTTTGACATCTGCCGGTCTTTGTCGTTTGCTGCAGTTTTTGCTTGCAATTCCTGTCACAATATGGCGACAAAGAACAGAGCGTCTTTGAAATCCTTTGCCACAACGTGTTGAGCACTAAGAGTAATGTAACGCAATTAATAAATGATTCAGGATTTTTAAATAGAGTTTCATATTCTCCCAGAATTTATTCTCCACTAAACACAGTTGTTTTCATGAGGGTTTACACAATTAAAATTCAGACGTCGCGAAAAGCAGTGTGGGATTGTTGAAAGTACATTGCGAACAAACAAGAATAATCCAGTTTCAAATTCTCCAATGCTCTGTGTTAGCCTCATTTGTGCGCAAAATATTCCTAATTGAGAGAATAAAACTGTGTGGGATTTCAATTCAATTCTATTTATTGTCTTTCTTTCCAAATTCCATGCGTTTTCTTGGGCTATCAATGAAACAAAAGAATATGTTACTTGGTTTTGAGGCTAACACAGAGCAAACCAGAACTCGAAATTGGAGTATTATCGTGACTAACTTTCTTGAAAACTAATGACCCTGGTGACCAGTAAAATTAATTTTGCATTGAAACTTCTTTGGAAAACACCCGCCATCTTGATCAACTTTTATCAACACCATGATGCATTTCGCCAAAAGACACATGACGTCACAAGAGAAGGACTATTTCAACCCATAAGTCAATTAGTACCTTTGTCCATCCTCCCGTTGCCCATTCAACACATGGACGCGTGTAGCATGGCTTCTTAGATAAAGGCTTGCTTGATGCTAAACACAAATTCTTTCGAGGGCATTTCACCCATCTTCTTCTTATACCAACTCCACACACTGCATAACACTAAATAAAGAAATTGTATGAGATTTGTATAGTATAACGTATACTTTATTTTCAGTCGTTATAAAGCTGTAATTACTCTGCGAACAGAGCTACTTTTCTCACCCGCCGAGAAGCTTCTGTAAGCTGTAATGGTTTTATGATATGAAAGTCCGTAGGTAAATAAGCGCGCGCTTTGACCACACTAACTGGGGAGCTTCTTTGAAGATTACAGGCTATTATGCCGCACCTACGATGTTTTAGAAAGCGCCCGCCGCGCATGACAGATTGCAAACTTCAAGAGACTGGTATCGAATGTCTTAACAATGAAGTATTACCCTTGTCCAGCGTCCAACTCTCCATTTCATATGACAGGCTTTGTTGATACAATTTCTAATCTTTGAGGGTTTGTCCTTGGTACATAATCGGCTAGGGGCCAAGGTGACAGTGCCATTCGGGTGCTTTTGCTTACATTTTACCGTGCGTTTTTGGATCCCGGCCCCACATGTTGTAACACAAGGGCTCCATGGAGATGCGTGCCACCTTTAAAATGAAGCACATGATTTTTTGATACTCTGTTATCAGTCCAGATTAAAGATGAAAGAATCGGGCAAAAAATCAGAATACTTTCTGAACTCATCATACTTGTTTGTCTACTCTTATAAATTGTTGTAACTTTATTTTGCATTTATGTACAAAATGGACATCTACACAACTTTACCATATAGGACACTTATGAACGTTGCAAACTCTTTCCTCTGTACGTGGTTTGGTAGCTTCTTTGCAGTAGAAATTCTCAACAAAGTCGATTTTTCCTCGGTAAAAGCTTACACATCGCATCTGGAGACTTTTGCGAATACCTACCAAAAATCGATGAAGTTGAAAATATTGGATTAATCCGCAATAAAAAAATCAATTAATCATTGATAGTAATCCATAATATACCTCCATCACAATGAGCGCTGCAAGGGCCCCATCCACCGTGCACCCAGCCGTACGTTGGTTCTGGTAGCTGAAGTTGTTTCTTGTCTATTGTCGTTTTAGACATGTTGATTGGCAGGGTATACTGGTACTTCACTCCGAGATTAAACCCATTGTATAAAACCTTAATCCAAGAATGTAATAATACCAGTAAACATCCCAAGAACATGGGATATGATTGGACAAAAACCGGTATTACAAATAAAAAATATGGGTTTGATTGACGGCGATTCTGAATACCGACACAAGATTGTTTATTTCAAGACCGAATTGCATTGTTGGTCGTTCTATCGCTGTTGAAAAGAAGTTTTCGCGGATTCAGATTGACTATAAAAGCCCCATACAGTCAAGACCTCCAATGGAAAGGAATTAAGTTTAGCCTTGTCATTTTGTAGTGAATCTAACGTGGAGTCTAATAGCAACAATGCATTTCGGTCTTGCAATGCACTTTGCAATATTAACGACAGAGTATTGAGTATTCAACTTTTTTGAAAAAGCTATATTCAAGTGCGAGAGAAAATATATTTAATAATAAAGTTGCATGAATATATACCATAATATGAAATGGTGTAGTCGTTGGTCCTTTGGCCACAAGTCGTTCCCAGGTCCCGCGCCGAGTGTATTTAAAGATGGTTCCTTCGGCTTCAAACATTCCTGGCAACTGAATCTTCCTGTTTCCATTGATGTAATATCGGTCGGTTTGACTCCGAAGAGCTAAAAAAGATATAAATATCGATCATATGAAATATTTTAATCTACTCTTAATGCAATAAACTGTTAACAGGAGGACAAAACACTTTGGAAGACGTTAGAGTCTCAGAATCATTAACAAAAGTGGCTTCCAATTCCATATTCCATATATTCAATTCTCGCTTGCAGACAAGCCCCAAAAATATTACGGGCACCCCGATACTTAACAATGCGGCTGTATAAATTGAAAGTAACTTACCTAAAAAGCTAGTGCAAGGCTTGACCTCATTGACATTGATGTTCCTGGCTCCCTTTGGAATCAGCGCTGCCTCAACGTAGCCTGCAAGCCAAAACACAAGACAGATACATGCTGTATTGTTGTCGTTATCAGGGGAAGGGGCAGTGCGTAATTTATTTCGTGTGCGATAGTAATTAACGTTTTTGATTTTTCTGATAAATATTGGGCAGTCCCTTAATGTAGCTGTTGTTCATCTGTTTGCGTTGCTAAAGTAATAGTCTGTTTAACCAAAATACATAATGGTATCGATTAAAGTATAAAGATGGCGGATTACTTAGATACGGAGAACGAAGTTTCTCCTAAGTATCGATTCATGGTACCTCTCCCAGCAAGTTGATTGAAGTGTCCTTCCACTGTATAACACGTGGTACCATTTCCATTACAAACACCACATTTATCTTCCTTAGCTCCAGATCCGAGCTGGTTGTCGCACCCTACAGACTAAATTAGAAAGATTTAAATAGACCAATAGGAGCAACAGATTTGAACTTGAGGGGTCTGCAAGTGCATGTTTTCGTGTTCGCGCATTTTGTAGTTATGTTTCAGTAAAGAGCAGCAATTTTCACGAAAAGTATGAAGAATGCTTCAAAGCGGTAATGCTTCAAAGCGGTAATATGAATACATTTGATTACTATCGAGCCTATAAGTAGACTTTCTCCAATTTTCACTCGTTCATTTTTTTTTCCGTTTGTTGGACTTTCAACGTTGGGCTTGGGAAATATCACAGGAAGCCCAACAAACAGAAAAACATTTAATGCGAAAGTAAATTCTTACGTGGCATTTTCCATTGATACAGATATCTTGTGAGTCCGCTCTGCACGGTGTTCCATCTACTACACTATCAGCTAGTTTAGCTGAGAACCGATGCGTTAAGCCTTTTGGTCTACAAAACAACACACAAGGCTGGCCTAAAGGGAAACAAGACGGAATCTCATCAGTTTTATCTTACAACATTAATGATCTTTTACATTTTTATAAAACCTGCTAATTGCCCTATTTTATAATGATGTTACAACATTTTTTACATCTCTGATATGACGTCAAAGTGAAAGAGGGCCATTAGAGACGTTTAATTTTAGTATGTACTTACGATCGCTGATCATCGGTAACCAAGACCTGTAGACTTTCGCTCTGTATCTTTTATTGTTAAACTTTGAACATTGAACAACACGAAAGTCAAGCGATTCTTTAGGGCAAGGCTGAAACAAAAAAGCAACTCTAGCTAAACTTACAGTAAATAGCTAGGCACCAGTACTACAATACAGTAATCTCGGCTGGACCCAGGGTGTGTACATAGAATTAATGCCGCAATGTGTACGTCAATACTGCAATTGCATAAATAAAGAATGAGAATTGGAGAATGGGAAAGCGTGATCAGGTTGTTGGAAAAAATCGTTCACTTTAAAAGGTTGTAAATTTGATGCAAATTTACATCAAATTTACATCATTTTGGACACTTACATAATATTTACATCAAATTTACAACCTTTAAAGCGCGCGATTTTTTCCAGTGCTAATGAGGAATTCGCGATCCCAAATGATTTGTATTGATGATTAAGTGGCGGTTAATTGTTTACCTTAACATTGCAGAGCTTGTGCATTTCATCTTCGCCTGTGCAGTATCGACCACCATATTGAGGTCTTGATAAATAGAATATACATACGTCCATCAACCAATCAATTACTTTAAGTATATTAATGATCGATGGTTATGAATATTCCTAGCCCTACCATAACGCATTTTGAAATAACCACACTTAAAGCAATAAGAACGACTAACAGCGACGATTATAGATTCATATAGGGCGATTTAGACGGTGCAACTTTTGCCTACAACTATCGCGTGCCATGCGTAAGTCATCCATACGACATGGCTACAACTGTCGTGAGGCTATTAAGCAATTGTTTAAAATCCTTACGACAGTTGTAGCCATGTCTTAAGGATGACTTACGCAGGTTGCATGTGATGGTTGTAAGCAAACGTTGTGCCGTCTTAATCGGCCTTATGCCATGAACCCACCTTGGATTGTTACATTTCCTGGATATTGAGCTCACCCCAGTCCCACAAGACCGTGAACATGGACTCCATCGGCTCCATGACGACCAGCCTCCATCACGACGAAGTGGGATAAGAGTGTTAGCAACACAAGAACCGTACATACACCACTAAAACAAAAAATAACATAGAGAATTCACATTTCATATGATATGGTTGTATCCATAACTGAAGAGTCAGTTGGTTTAACCCCTTATCCGACGGCGAGATTCATCTGGGGAAGACTATTAGATTTTTGGAAACTAGTTTATTCTTCATTGCTTTGTGCATGGTCCCGCAGATGGTCCTAACTTGCAATTAACTGTAAGGGACAGACTTAAACGTTGTATCATTATAAAACTCATAAATGATTATAAAGCAAACAACAACGACGACAACAAAAACAGCAACGACAACAACAACGACAACGACAACAACAAAGGCTAAAAAATCACCGGAGAACGCTAGACCTCCCTTCTCAAAACATGCATTCTTATATTTATGAAATTATTTTTCGAATACTTACCTTATCGCGACCACAGGCCGTACCACGTGCTGGAGGATTAAGCTTCGATCTACATAATGATTCCCCTTGGATCTCACACCACAGAACTTGACAAAGTCTGCTCTACAAAAACAAAATGACAGTTGTAATAAGCATAATGGAAGATCATACAGAACGCGGCAGACTTCCCATGTGACTTTTCGGCCTCTGCTCTATGAATTTTAGCCCGGCAAATGGTCATGCAATAGAAGTCATATATTGTATACGTAATGCTTTTAAGGCATATATGTTTGTGACCAAACATGATGGTTCTTTGTTTTGTTTTTGTCCAGAAACCTTCCCTAAAATGCATTGCAAATCAATTTGGCAAATATTGGGTTTATTGAGCATACAGCTTCAGCTCAGAAACATTAAGTAACGACTTTTGTTAGCGTATCCCAATGCAGGGATGAATTGTTGGTCGTTGTATCAGCATTTTAAAAGAGCAACTTTCACTGTTTGTAGTCGGACTACGCAAGCTCTATCTCTTCAATGGAAAGAAATTTAGTTTACATATGTGATGTCATTATTTCACCCTACATACGTGGTATATAATATCAACAATGCATTTTGATCTTGGAATACACTAAAATCGCAGTATTGCGGTCTCAATGTTTTCTGAAATAGCTGTATGTATAATACCTTGTATTTACTGCAGTGTCTAGCTCTGTTGCCATACTGTAATCTACACTGATCATCAGCGCTGTAACGCACACCGGGGAGATCCCCAGGCAGGTCGAGTTTCTTGTTGGTAACTCGATGTCGCAGGCATTTACTTTCTTTAGACCTATAATATAATACTTGAATTCCTATTAGAGTTCAAAACAACATAAGATCTAAGATAGTTAACTAATTATTATATTATTTTAAGTATATTGATATTTTAGGGTCTATAATAAGTGAGGTTAACAACTACCATCATGTTTTGCTGAACAAAATGGCGTCGCTGTAAATTGCCTATTAGTGAGTAAAGGAAACAGGGTGTGTTGTTCGTTTTAAATTTAGATAGACAAAATTCTAAAAACTGCCTTGTCTCTAGTGTGATTACGTGGCCAATAATGATGATAAGAATCATTAATATGCATAATTGAGTGACATTTGTCAATATAACGTACTTCAGAAAAGCTTTCAAGGATTTTTTGCTGCATTCAGACCATTTCATGCTCCCGTGTTTGTTCCTTAGCAACCATCGTGGGGACATGACGTGCGGGAAGACTCCCGACGAATCAGAACAAGAGTTGCCATCGCCATCGTGATAGATTCCTAGACTGATAGAACACATGACGTCATCAAGAGTCACATGATTCGTAAAGTCAGTGAGTGAGTCAGTCATGCTGTCAGTCAGTCGTTTTGACAGAAAGAACAAAACGTGATATAGCATGGATAAACCGCTGACTTACTTGTGTCCCAGCTCGTGGGCAACAGTAAAGGCTACATTGAGTCCCTTGTCTTCAGAAACACTGCATCGTCTATTGGGATCACACATACCGTACAGGAAACCAACCCCTGTAAAAAGAAATATAAACAGGTTAACAAACAAAGCTTATAATGCAATATAATTAGACCTATGCACAGTTGACACTGCAGCGGTAGTTAGTGCTGAGGTAGAAACGACTAAAATTTACAAGATTACAGTCTTACCAACGGTTGAACATGGTACAACACTATCAGCACAAATGTCTGTTCTGAAATGAGAAGTGTATAATGATAATTCATCTATCCATTCATTTCACTCTCTTCATCCTTTCATATCTTTCTCTCTCTCTCTCTCTCTCTCTCTCTCTCTCTCTCTCTCTCTCTCCCAAGCGCTAAACCAACCGCCTCCACCCCCCATCCCCACCCCCTTTTCAATCAATCCCTCCTACGCCAACTATCCATTCATTTATTCATTCATTTATTCATTCATCCTGCCTCTTTGTCTATTTTTTTTAATTAGCAAACCCATTCAAATTTATAGTTACCTCGTCATCAATACAGCGGCATCGTAATCGCTATGCTCTTTAATGTTTTCCCCTTTCACCCAACGTAGACTTTTCTGCCAGGCGCAAAAACTTCGCAATGTTTCTCGACCGTTGGTTGAAATGGACAGACCTTTCTGAAATCAAGCCGCCAATGGCAACACAACTCGAAGATTGATTGTGCAGACGAATACAGAAAGATATAATGATGAATCAAATTATAATTACTTAACGAATAGAATTTTAAATAAACGATTTATGAATATAGTTTTATAATTTAACTTCGGTTCTGGATAAACACAAGCGAGCGCCGGTGAGATGAATACCACTCGAGC